AGGCCCCTTAGACAGCTCTGACGTCCCCTGTCCGAAGGGCCTTCCCAGCTATGACATTCCCTATTCTAAGGACCCCCCTCCCAGCTCTGACATTCCCTGTTCTAAGGCCCCTTAGGCAGCTCTGACGTCCCCTGTCCTAAAGGCCTTCCCAGCTCTGACATTCCCCATTCTAAGACTCCTCTCAGCCCTGACATCCCCTGTCCTAAGGGCCTTCCCAGCTCTGACGTCCCCTGTCCTAAGGGCCTTCCCAGCTCTGACATTCCCCATTCTAAGACTCCTCTCAGCCCTGACGTCCCCTGTCCTAAAGGCCTCCCCAGCTCTGACATTCCCTGTTCTAAGGCCCCTTAGACAGCTCTGACGTCCCCTGTCCTAAGGGCCTTCCCAGCTCTGACATTCCCCATTCTAAGACTCCTCTCAGCCCTGACGTCCCCTGTCCTAAAGGCCTCCCCAGCTCTGACATTCCCTGTTCTAAGGCCCCTTAGACAGCTCTGACGTCCCCTGTCCTAAGGGCCTTCCCAGCTCTGACGTCCCCTGTCCGAAGGGCCTTCCCAGCTCTGACATTCCCCATTCTAAGACTCCTCTCAGCCCTGACGTCCCCTGTCCTAAAGGCCTCCCCAGCTCTGATGTCCCCTGTCCTAAAGGCCTCCCCAGCTCTGACATCCCCTGTTCTAAGGCCCCTTAGACAGCTCTGACGTCCCCTGTCCGAAGGGCCTTCCCAGCTCTGACATTCCCCATTCTAAGACTCCTCTCAGCCCTGACGTCCCCTGTCCGAAGGGCCTTCCCAGCTCTGATGTCCCCTGTTCTAAGGCCCCTTAGACAGCTCTGACATCCCCTGTCCTAAGGGCCTTCCCAGCTCTGACGTCCCCTGTCCGAAGGGCCTTCCCAGCTATGACATTCCCTATTCTAAGGGCCCCCCTCCCAGCTCTGACATCCCCTGTCCTAAGCATCCCCCCAGCTCTGACATTCCCTGTTCTAAGGCCCCTTAGACAGCTCTGACATCCCCTGTCCTAAAGGCCTTCCCAGCTCTGACATTCCCTGTTCTAAGGCCCCTTAGACAGCTCTGACGTCCCCTGTCCGAAGGGCCTTCCCAGCTATGACATTCCCTATTCTAAGGACCCCCCTCCCAGCTCTGACATTCCCTGTTCTAAGGCCCCTTAGGCAGCTCTGACGTCCCCTGTCCTAAAGGCCTTCCCAGCTCTGACATTCCCCATTCTAAGACTCCTCTCAGCCCTGACGTCCCCTGTCCTAAAGGCCTCCCCAGCTCTGACGTCCCCTGTCCTAAAGGCCTCCCCAGCTCTGACATCCCCTGTTCTAAGGCCCCTTAGACAGCTCTGACGTCCCCTGTCCGAAGGGCCTTCCCAGCTCTGACATTCCCCATTCTAAGACTCCTCTCAGCCCTGACGTCCCCTGTCCTAAAGGCCTCCCCAGCTCTGGCGTCCCTGTCCTAAAGGCCTCCCCAGCTCTGACATCCCCTGTTCTAAGGCCCCTTAGACAGCTCTGACGTCCCCTGTCCGAAGGGCCTTCCCAGCTCTGACATTCCCCATTCTAAGACTCCTCTCAGCCCTGACGTCCCCTGTCCGAAGGGCCTCCCCAGCTCTGACATGACCTTCCAGGCTCAGAAGCGCTGTATTTATATTTAGGGAGCTGGAATGAAGCTATAATCATGTCTCTCTAAAGCCCAGAGAGGGCAGACTGAGTTCTACAAACATACAATGGAAAAAGAAGCCAAACTCTCGAAGTGGATTTCTCATGCTGCTCCAGGCTCTGATTTCCAGCCCTGGAAGGCAGCCCGGTACGGTAGAAAGAGTCAGGAGGGACCTGAGTTTGCCTCCAACATTTGCTAGTTGTGTGACCCTGGACTTATTAATGAACTTCTCTGAATCTGTTTCCTTCTCAGTGACCTCAACGGGCTCTTGGAAGGACCAAATGAAGTCAGGTATTATTCTGAGTGTCTCCTCGCTCATGGCTGTGGTTCCCATTATCTTCTGTGGGAGGTGGACCCAAAGGAATCTCTTTCTCAGCAGCTTTGGTTCGGAGTCTCAAAGAACAGAACTCCGCAAGCTCAGAATGAATAGTGTTTCAGCGTGAAGCCTTTCCTCTCTGGAAGGATGCTTCTGGGCAGAGGGACTCAGCAAGCCAGAATCCTTCCAGGAGATAGAAAAATACCCCCGAGAGACTAACAGGCTCCAGCTGTCGCTCTCCCTATCCCTCACTAACTGAAAACCCAAAAGATAAGGAACAGACGTCCGTACACAGCATAACAGTGGATCACGGAGGGAGGGGGAAGAGGGCTAAGAATGGGGTAACCTGCACAAAGGTGAACACGATGTCTCCTCAGAGAGGGTTCCCCTCCTCGCACGTCTGCAAAGCCTCCCAGTGCAAAGCACACAGCCTAGACAAACAGGAGCTAAGCAGGACAGGAGCCTCATGATCGGTGATGCAGAGAAAATGAATCCAGAACGTGAAAAGGACCAGGTGTAGACCTGGCCAAACCTGACGGTGTGCCATCCTATATCTAAATATCCAAATGTTCTTGGGGTACACAGCCCCCCACCTCCTGCCATTGCAAACTGGGGGCCACAGGGCCCGTCCGGCAGGCTCTACTGCCGTCTCACCATCACCCCCAGAGCCCAGGCCCTCATTAGCTCTCCCCTGTTGTTGTTGAGTCCTGTTTGACTCCTCGTGACCCCAGGTAGGGTCTTCTTGCCATTTTCTTCTCCAGTGGATTAAGACAAACAGGGTGAAATAACTTGCCCAGAGTCACACAGCTAGTGAATGTCTGAGGCTGGATTTGAACTCAGGTTTTCCTGAATCTAAGCCCAGCACTCTAGCCACTGAGCCACCCCTAGCCTGCTAGAATAAGTTTCTCAAACAAGTCTTACCAGCTTCAAGAAGTCCAAATGCTTTCAAACCATTCTGCTGACCCCAGCCAGGGTCATCTTCCTAAAACCCAGCACTGTGCTCCTCAAAAACTTTGACTGGCTCTCCTCCAAACCCCCTCCTTTAACTGAAAAAATTCACGTGTCGAAGATATACAACCAAAGTCTCCATCATGTGACTGTTCCACTACTCCCACGGAAGAAGCCTGAGCGCCTGCCAAAGTGGCCTGATCCCTGTCTCTGTCTCAGCCTCACTGCCCTGTTCACGCCGGTCCCCTTCCTGGCCGGGCCTGGCTCAGCCTCTGCTTCCTCTTGTTCCTCTAAACTCATCCAATCCTGAGATCCGAAGCTGGGAGAAGGCCCCTAACGTGTCACAGAGGAGGAAACGAAGACCCAGAGAAGGTGACGGGCTTGCCCACCGTCCCAGGTCAGTCAGAATGTAAACCAAAGTCCTCAGATTCCAAATGCCACTGTCCACCTTGCCAATTGTTTCTACTGTTTGGCACTCTCTCACATGCTATCCATTATTTGGCTCATCACGCGTGTATTCAATTCAGTTCTACGTGCATTTCTAAGGCTCCTACTGTGTGCCAGGCAGTGGGTCAATCTGTGCCTTCATGGACCTGACATTCTACTGGTGAGAGATCCCATGGGCATGAGTAAAGAAACACAACAGCATCCATCTATTATATAACACATTTTCTAGAAGGGAGAGCGCCAGTGACCGGAGGATTCAGCAAAGGCCTGTGCAGGAGGCAGCCTGGGAGTGCAGCCCAAGAGGCCTCTTCCCTCCCGGGGCTCAGCACAGGGCCTTGCTCGTGGTCCCTAACACAGGTGCTGACTGACTCGTGATAGGTCTGGCTCTGTCCCACAGGAGGAAGCTGGGCTGTGCAGGAGCACAGGCGGGATGCAGGAGAGTCCCGAGGCTGGACCCATTTCCAGGTCTTCCCACCCCTCAGACAGGAGATTCTGCGAGGGCCTCTCGGAGAGGCTCTTTGGGCCGGCCAAACAGGTTCGGTCACTGCAACGCTAGAGGACCTCCGACAGCTCTGTGGTCACTTTCCCAACTGCTCCGAGTGGGGCTGGCGGGACCCAAAGACCCGGGGGGGGGAGGGGCGGGACGGCGCTAGGTGGCAAAGACTGAGTCCTGCGGTTGTGGGAACCGGGAAAGGGCGAAGGGATGGGAAAGCAGGCTGGCCCCCAGGCCTGGCAGCGCTGAGGAAGTGACTGAGCCGCCGGCTCCTTCCAGCGAAGGAAGTGACCGTCCCGGCCGGTCAGGCAGGAAGCAGGAGCGGGCGAGGCCGGGACGTCCGTCCCGGAGGCTCCCCCCCATCACCGGCCTCTCGGGGGCCGGCTGACCCCCCGCCTGACACAGGGGGCAGGAAGCAGGCCAGCCCGGTCAGTGCTCGGGCCTCCCCAGGCCCCCTCCTGCACCACCCGTCCCTGCCCTCGGGGGGCGCCCCGCTCTCCAGAGAAGGCTCTGGAGCTCCCCAGGCCCCCCAACACTGCCCCCCCTCACTTCTCGGCCCCCTTTCGGAGGGGTCCCCCCTCAGCTCACCTAGAACCTCCCCCACCGCCACAGAGGCCCCGGGGAGGGGGCGTCCGTAAGCTCCCTTCCTCCCCACAGGGATGAGCGCTAACGGCCCCCCTCCTCCCCAGGAGCCCCGATCTCCCTTATTCCTCCCTCCCATCACCCCCGCAGAGACGACCCCCCGCCCGGGAAAGCGCGCACCCCCCAGTCACCCCTCATCCGAGGGGAGGGGCTCGTGATCCCCAGCATCCCCCCAGACGAAGCCCCTCCCTGGGGGCCCCCCCCAGCCTGCTCCTTCCAGCCCGGGGCCTCCTGGGGTTCAGGTGGGAGCCCCTCCCAGACCCCCCCCATCCCGTCACGCCCTCGGCCCTCGTCCACCCGGCTCCTTAGCCCCACAAGTCCCTCCTCGGCCCCTCCCCCGGGTCTCCTCCTCCTCCCCCCATCTCCTGCAGGGCAGGGCAACGCGCACTGATTAGGTGCCTACTAAGTTGCGGGCGAGGGGATAAGCGCCCCTCCGCGGTGCCCATGCCCCTCGGGGGCCCCGGGAGGACGGCGGAGGTAGCGGGCAGGGCGGGCTGGGCTCCACTCACCGGACACCCCGTCCATGGCTGCCCGCCGCGGGCCGGCTCCCGGAGCTCTCCCGGCCGTTACCTCAGGCGACAACTGAACGCGCGGAGGGCGCGACCGTCCCGCCTACGGCGCCTCGGGAGGGCCAAACCGCACCTGGCTCCGGGCGCCGCCCGAGGCTGCCGCGGACCCCGCCCCTCCGCCGGCCCCGCGACCCCGCCCCGAGCCTGGCCCCGCCCCTCCGCCGGGCCCGCGGTCACGCCCCCGAGCCTGGCCCCGCCTCTCCGCCCCCCCCCCCGAGCGCGCCGGCTCAGGCTCCGCCCCCTACGCCCACAGGAGCCCCGCCTCCCGAGAGGTGTTCAGAGTCCGCCCTGAGGCCCAGGCCCGGCCGGCGCTGCGGCCCGGCGCCCCCTAGCGCCAGGACAGCGCGGCGCGCTTCCTTGCTCGGCGGGTCGAAGGAGTGGGCAGTCCCACTAGAGACTCCGGCGCGTAGCGTGCGCTCAGTCAGTGCTCGTTGATTGATTGACCCAAGTAAAACCCTTGGAAGGCATCTGAGTAACCCCCTCATTTTACAGTTGGGGAAAGTAAGGCCCTGGCAAGGGAATGGGCTGGCCCAGAGGCCACAGAGCGCTTGCCCTGCCCCTCCCTCTTGAGCGCAAGTCTTCTGCCTTCTCTTCTCCAGGCGATGGAAGCTCCAGCCCACAGCACCCACTGTTAGGACCGGACGGACTCTTCCCCCGGCAGAGCTCCGGGGTGGGGAGGGGTCACACGCAAGCTGGTGCAAAAGCAGCCCTTGAAGCCAGTCCTCTGACTCCAAATCCAGGCCCCCCTCCACGGCACGGAGCTTCCATCCCAGGCATTAGAGGTCCCTGGATTTAGGGAGGGGGGCGAGGAAGGGTGTCCTGTCCGCGAAGCACCTACTGTGTGCCAGCTACCATGTGCTCGGTACTAGGGATGCTCAAGCGTGAAGGTCAACGTCCTTGCCCTCAAGAAGCTTCCATTCTAATGTATACACACAAAATAGATACGAGGTCCAGTTGGTACGTCAGCACACACTTATTATGCAGCTCCTATGTGTCAGACAGTGTGCTGAGCTCTGGGGATCCAAAAAGAGGCAAAGACAGTCCCTGCCCTCAAGGGGCTTAGAGTCTAACGGGGGAGACAACAGGAAAACAACCAGGTACATACAGACAGGACCTACTAAAATCCTTCGCGGAGAGAAGGCGCAGGAAAGGCTTCCTGCAGAAGGTGGGATGTTTGCGGAGACCCGAAGGAAGCCAGGAAAGCCAGGAAGTGGAGGGAGAGCCGGAGAAAATGCCCAGAGCTGAGAGGGTGATGGGGAGGTGACGATGCTAGAATGATTCCGAGGCTGTGACCCTGGATGACTAAAAGGAAATAAATATAAAATAATACCGAGAGAGAGAGAGACTGATAACAATCAGGAGGTTCAGAAAAGGCCTGGCCCATGACTGTGCTCGAAGGAAGCTAGGGATTTTAGGGGGGCAGCTGGGTGGTGCAGTGGATACAGCACTGGGCCTGGAGTCAGGAAGATCTGAATTCAAATCCAGCCTCAGACCCTTACTCGCTGCGTGACCCTGGGCAAGTCACTTCACCCTGTCTGCCTCAGTTCCTCATCTGTAAAAATGGGGACACACTGGAGAAGGAAATGACCAGTACCTTTGCCAAGAAAACCCCACAGACAAAGTCCATGGGATCCACAGGGTCACACGACTGAATAATAACAAGAAGGGATTTTAGGAGGTGGAGATGAGGAAAGAGGGCACTCCAGATATGAGGCCACTTGCACAGACATGGGGATGGGAGACGGTGTATGCACCGTGGGGTCTACCCGAGAGAAGGCCACCTCGGCTGGATGCCAGAATGTGGGAGGGGAGCTGGAGACTTGGATGGAAAGCTCAACGAAGTTTGTCCTTCCTCTCCGCAGCAACAGGAAGCTGCTGGCCGAGAGTCACGGGCACTTAAGGACATCCATCGTGGCAGCTTCACCCTGCAGGATGAACTGGAGGCAGGGAAACCAGCTGGGAGGGTGTTGGAATATGCTAGCCAAGAGGTGCCGAGGGCCTGCACCAAGATGGGAGCTGCGTGGCTGGAGAGAAGGACTCTGATTCAGCCCTCACCCAAACTCAATTCTCCTAGCTCACCATCCAACCAGTGATTGGGCCTGTGTGGAAGTCAGGAGCCCACGCATGGTGGCGGTATTGTTGCGGTCTGAGAGGTCGAGACCCCTCAAAGACTGGAGTACAGGATGGGGTCATCAGGAATGAATTCACACACTCAAGCATTCTTTAAGTCAAAGTGGCAAAGATTTATTGTTACACTTTTTAGTGGGCAAGGATTCTCAAGGAACCTGCAAGAGACTGAGGATGGAACTAGGGTTTATATGGAAAAGGGCATGGGAAAGGAATGCCAGGGATACTGATTAGGTAATCCAAAGGTCCAGGTGTCTTTGGGAGCTACGGATGGGAAAGTACAGGGAGTATACTAGACAGGGAGGGAGACAACAGAGGTATGGATCTTGGGAGTCTGGCAGGAGGAAGAGTCCTTGGGCCAGAAAAGACACCCCTCTCCCTCTGTCTTGATGAGAGAATGCTCTGCAACAAGGGAAAGCTTTCTCACAAGACAGGAACTTACTAAGGAATTGGGAGGCTTCCAGAGACATGATAGAAGGGCTGGGGCCTGAGCAGCCCAGCACTCTCTCAACCCAGCTTTGTGTAGCTACTCCAGAGAGAGAGAGAGAAGGGTTTTGCTGGGGCCCACGCATGCGTAACTGCCAGGCACAGTGTCCTTGGGCTGAGGAGTGATTGTCAGAGACTAGGAAGAAATTGGGGTCCAAGTCCAAGCACAAGCACCCAACCCAAGCACCCCGTCAGTATTACTCTGTTGGAGAGGGGTTCTTTCTTGGACTGACCTCTCTCAGGCCTAAGTTGAGAAGACTAATAATCCTATGATTCTTTCCTGAAAGACCAGATTCAGAAGATCCCCTTTATCATCCCAGGTGCAAGTTCAATCTGATAAGAGTTGCATGCAGTAAATGTCATTCCAGGTACAAGCAAAATACATTGTTTCCCTGCCTACATTTTCTGTTCTACTCAAACTGGCCCAATGACTCCTCAGACATGATTTTCCCTTTCCCACCTCCACATCTTTGTCCAAGCAGTTCCTCCTGCCTGGAATGTCTTCTACCTCCTGGAATCCCTAACCTCCTCTGGGGCACATTTCAAGCACCTCCTATACCAGTCTCCCCCCTCGCCCCCAACCAGTTATTAGCAGTCCCTCCCTTGAAATTACTTTGTATTATTTTATGTCGAGTGTGTTTACTCACATCCTTCCAGTCAGGCCCCAGGACCGAGGCCAGCTGAGCCAAGGACAATTCTGTTTCCTTCCCACTCTGACCTTCTCATCAGAGCCAGATGGAACTGATTCAGCTGTGGCTAGAGCATCTGGTTCCTGATGTCATCCTCACCCGTTACATACATCTGAGCTCCCAATAATTCCCAGGAATAATCTCTGCCTACTGGCTCTGTGATTCTGCAGGATTTCTGATCTTGCTCAGACGCATGACCAACCTGTCTGGTGAGTGGATGCACGGAGGGGCTGGCATGGTGACCTTCCACTCCATGGTGAGATCGTGGGAAGAGCCAGGAGTGTGAAGATACCCCCACTGGCACCCCAGGCTACACTTCTTTCAAAGCAAAAATGGGGGTCGGGCCCCATCTACTACACAATGTCTTTCCTCATCCCCCCAATTATCAGTTCACTCTCCCTTTTAAAATTACTTTGGTTTATCTCGTGTACCTGTCGTTATACTGACTTACCTAGCGAAATGCTCTGTTGCTCTTAGAACATAAGGCTTGCGAGGGCAGGGACGGTCTCACTGTCCTCAGAATGTGGCCTCCAGGCTGCAGGTTCCCCACTCCTGTCTCAGGACTTTCAGCGTCTGTACCTTCAAGATTCAGCCTACAGGCCACATTCTGATTTTCCCAGTAAATACTGCTATCTTCTGTCCCAACTTACCTGGTGTTTTCTTATCTGTGTAACTGTGGTCCCCCACCGCTGTCCCTTCCTCCCCAAATACCTTGTATTTAAATATGTGGCACGTGTTTCTACTTATTCTATGTATAAACTCATACATATCTACATCTATATCTATCTATATCCTTGTTCTCTCTCTCATTAAGAATGCAAGTCTTTGAACCTCGATGCTCAACACCCCGGCCACAGTAGGTGCTTTAACACCTGTTAACACAGGGATTTGGTTCAATCCAATAAACATTTCCCCTGCCCTGTCTCCCAGGGCGGCTTGGAGGAAACAAAACCAGGGCTATATTTGAATGACTTGTATTTTGTAAAATTGGAAAGAACTAAACAAATACAGAGTCCTGGGCTGGGAGGGACCTTACAAACCACCCGGTCTGATGCTGGTATCTAGACCCACAGAGGGCAAGTGACTTGCCCAGGATCACATTTCATTTGGATACAAGCTATGACGTTCACAAAGCACTTTGTACACGTGACCTTACTGGGTCCCCCAAACGAGGAGACTTTTCTGTAACATCTAGCTGTATGAAGGAAGGAGCAGAGGGGGATTCAAACCCACCTCCCACATTTGTCTGATTTTAAATACCCAACTTCCTGCCGGTTATTGGTGTATCATTCTCTCTCTCACACAGATCTATAGTTCTTATGTTCCCTCCCCATCACAGAATTTGAAAGCTGGGAGGGAACCCAACAGCCACGGCCTCCAGCCCTCGCCTGAGAGGAATCCCCACTATCACCTACTCAGCCTGTGGCTGTCTCTCTCCCTTTGAAGACCTCCTACGGGAACACAGCAACTGTCCTTCAAGGCACCTCATTTGACTTCAGGGCAGATCTGGTAGGAAGTTTTTCAACCAACCACCAAGTCTACTATTTGCCAGGTACTTAGGATACAGACAGAAACGACAGTCCCTGTCCTGGAAGCTGGCACTGGGCCTGGAGTCAGGAAGACCTGAGTTCAAATCCTGCCTCAGACTCTTACCAGTGGTGTGACCTTGGGCAAGTCACGTAACCTCTGTCTCGGTTTCCTCAAGGACAAAACAGAGGCAATGATAGTATCTACCTCCCAGGGCTGCTGTGAGGATCAAAGGAGATATTTGTAAAAGTGCTCAGCACACTGCCTGGCACATAGCTGGTGTTCTGTAAATGCGCATTCCCTCCCCTCAAGGAGCTTATTGTTCCATAGGGAGAGACAGGCACACAGATGAAGTGAATAAAATAAACACAAGGTAATTTGGGGGAGTGGGATGACACTGTATTCACCTAGCAGTGGGGCCATCAGTAAAAGAGACGGAGGAAAGAGGAGCGTATCCCAAACATGGTGGGGCACCCTATGCAAAGGCGTGGAGATAAAGATGGCACGTCGTGGGTCTGTGCTGGGCAACAGGCCTGCCCGAGTCTGTACTCTATTCCAGAGGCCAGAGGGAGCCGTGCCATTGATTGGCCCTGTGCCTCAGCCGTAGAGGAACCAACGAGGCCACAGGAATGCTCCAGGTGAGGGAGGATGGACTGGGGTCACGACGGCTGCGTGAGCGGACTGGAGGACGGATACATGAGACTGTTGTGGACTTGGCAGGCAAGACCAGGGAGGCAAGAACCAAGAGGAGTGTGAGGGAAGGCCCCAGAGGGCAGCCTGCTTCAGTCGTGTGTCCCCTACAGCGGCCACAGGGCCTCCCTCCCACACAGAGCACCCCATAAATACCTGGTTTTGAACTGAAGGCGGCAGAGCGCAAACCCAGATGACGCTCTCTGCTGCTATCCAATGTCTAGGAAATGCAGGTGCTCCTTCTCCTTCCTCCCCTCCCCCTACCTGCTTCATGCCCAGAAGAGCTAAGTGTCTGTCACTGGGGACAGGTGTCTGACCTTGCTGATCTTAAGGGGGGTGAAAGCATCACCCTGGGGTCTCTTCCCATAGCTGCTGAGGGGGGGTCTGCCTGCTTCAGGTCTCTTTCCACTCCAATCTGTCCTCTATTCAGCCATTAAAGTGATCTTCTTAAACTCAAGGTCTGATAATGCCACCCCGCTATCCCTGCCATGAACTCCAGTGACTCCTGATTGCCTCCAGGATGCTGTTTGGCATCCAAAGAGCCCCTCCTACCTTTCCAGTTTCTTTACATTTTCCTCACACACACACTCTGGCACGGCCATACCACAAACAAGACCCTCCATCTTTCAGCTCCAGGCATTCTCTCTGGCACTCCCCATATCTGGAAACCTTAACCTCAACTCTGCTTACTAACTCCTTGGCTTTAAGGTCCAACTAAAATCCCATCTTTTACAGGAAGCCTTCCCCAACTCCCTTTTTAAAAAAAGTAATATTTTATTTTCCCCCTAATCACACATGTAAAAACAATCTTGAACATTTGTTTTTGTTTTAAGTTTTGAGTTCCAAATTCTACTCCTCCCTCACCTCCCCCTTCCCTGAGACAGTAAGCAATCTGATATAGGTCATGCATGTGCACATGTAAAACATGTCCATACAAGTCATTTTGTGCAAGAAGACAGAAAGAAAGAAAAAAGAAAAAATAAAGAGAAAAAGCATTCTTCAGTTTGCGTTCAGACATCAGTTCTTTCTCTGGAGGTAGATAGCATTTTTTATCATGAGTCTTTTGGAACTGTCTTGGAACTCAGCCCCTCTTATTTCCGGTGCCTTCCCTCTATTAATCATTTCCTCTTTATCCTGTACATAGCTTGCTGTCTATACATTTGTCTTTCCCATTAGATTGTAAACTCCCTGAAGGCAAGGACTGTCTTTTGCCTCTTTTTGTATCCCCAGTGCTTAGCAGAGTGCCTGGTGCACAGTAGGTCCTTAACGTTTATTGACTGATACACCCCAAATCCCGTGGGCTACAGCAGAGCCGAGACTCCGTTCTCCTGACTTCAAAGCGAGAGCTCCTGCCATCACAGCGTGGCGCCTTCTGGTAGATAACCTGACCCCGGCCATTGCCCTCTCTGAGTCTGTTTCCTTTTCTGTAAACTGAAAGGTTGGACTTCAGCTCCACCAAGTGACATTCTACGATCTAGCTGTATTCCAAAATTTACATAAACTTTTGCCATCAGAGGAAAACAGAAACTGGTGCCTCAGTGAGCTGCTCTGTATCAATACGAACAGCAAATGTCCACACTTTTTGCTGGCTTTTTTTCCCTTCCCTATAACATACTTACTCATGAAGACCAAGAGAAGAGCATCTTGGACACAGCAGGTGCTTAAAAAATGCTCACCGACCAGGATCACAGTAACGTCAATGAAGCTGACGGCCAAGTAGCTGTAGTGACCAGAAGTTGGGGCCACACACGTAGGAAATGAACGGCTGTGCTGTCCCTAAGACTTGGTGACTGTAGGCTGGTTTTCACTGCTTCCTTTGTTCTAAGAGAGGGCTCATGGGGCGTACTCAGGGGGAGGTGTATATCTAAATCCCAAGATGACTGTTATGTAAAAAGGAACCCCCCCCCAATAATTCAGCTTATTTAATAAGTGTTTGCTGAGCTGTACAGAATTAGAAGCTGACTAAGGAAAGAAAGGATGATAATGCTCTGCTTTAATGATCAAGTTTGCAAGTGCATTAAACCTGTCCATCCCACATGGCACCGCACCCTCCTCCTGGCTACATGGCCCAAAGGAAGTCCCCACTTCTCGCCGCACATGAAGCACTTGGGTGGATTCACCAACAGATGTCATAAGCTCCTAGATACAGAAGACACATCACGGTGTGGAGCACACTTTTGTGAGCTGTGTGAGTGAATGCGACCTCCCTCTCCTCCAGGCCGATAAAAGGGGGGGGCTGGACTAAATGGTGTCTGACAATCCAGGCGCCTACACTCAAAGGTGTAGGGGCCCAGGAATCTGACCCTTGGCCCTGAGTCAAACTACTCTTCAAACACAATATGCCAAGAGAATGGCTGATAATGGAAAACTCCAGGCCCTAAAGTCAGCTCTTGCTGATCTAACTCCAGGCCGACGTCTGTGGACAGCTTTCATGTGCCCTGTGATATCGCCGAGGAGGGACAAAGGTGCTTTCTGCAGGACCCCACCTACCCCAGCCCTCTCCTAGAGCAAATCCACACCTAGCCACTTTCAATGTAAAACCATTTTTATTTTTCTTCTAAATCAAATCACTTTCACAACAGTGAAAATTAGTAACTGGTAAATGTATCTCAAGGTACACAGCATCATTGATGGTCTAACTGTGGCCAGAGCACAGTCCTAACTAATACAATGGAATGAATACAAAGGAGAAAAAGGGCAAAGAGAGCCCAAAGGAAGAAATGCATTAACTCAGAAAAGAAGGGTAAAGTCACGGAGGCCAAGTGGAGGCGCAGGCGCCTCCAGCCCGGGGCTGGGCCAGCGGTCCCAAATCTGGCGGCACTGCTGCTGCCTCTGCACCCCGCTCCTGGCAAAGGCAGGTGAAGCTTACCACAGCTCAGAGAAAATGAGAGCCGGGCCCAATTCTGATAACCTCTTTCTATCACTGCTGCAGATTCCAAGGGATTCCTCTTTCGTAATCAAACTGCCCTCCTCCCGCCTCTCTCTCACAGGAAGGATGGGGCACTGGAGCACCACCGGGCCAGTAACCACTCCTGAAACTCCCCAACCTTGGGTTTTAAGCTCCCAAAGCTCCCCAGGCCAGGGGATTTTGGAGGGCTAACTGAAAAAGGCTCATCCGAGGCTGGGGGGCCCCAGGGGGACAAGCTCCTTGATCACACACACAGGCACCAGCCTCTGTGACCCTCTCTACCACAGACTTGGCCAAGACAACATCTACAGAATACTTGGTTCTGAACATTTCAACACTGGGTTGAGGCTTTGGTTAAGTCCAAAGGTGGAGAGGGGGAGGAGAAAGGTTGCAGGGGACATCTTCATTCCCTTTTCCTGATATCTTTGGACCTAATGCTTGAGCTCACCCCATCTCACAAGCAGGGAGGGGCTGAATTCCTCCTAGGACCTTCTATCTCAAGGATGAGGAGCTGGGCTAGAGGAAGGCAGATTTCACACACAGAAAGAGACTCCTCAGAGGAATCTCAGGGCTGCGTGTCCTCCACGGCAATGTCAGGGGTCCTTTTGCACCCAAAGACATTTGGCAGGCAGAGACATAGACACACATAGATGGACAGATAATTTGAGCCGTTCAGTGCCCTACCTTCTTATTGATCAGATTCAAAGAAAAGGCATTTTTAAAACAAGAAACCAATGATTATACCGAGGTACCTTTCTTCCCAAGATTCTGAATGAAGAGGTATGAGGAGGGAAGGAACTCATTAACAAGTCGAAGGCACACCTCTCCCTTCCGGAGGCAGCAGGGGTCACCCAAGACTGGCAGCCATCAGGAAGCCTCTCTTTCGACAGCATTTACCCAAGAGGTTCCAGGGGACAGACACAGAGCTCATCGCTTGGTAAGCCCACAGCGACCTCCTGCAGCGTCCCTGCTGGGCTGTCTGCAGGACGGGTTCAGCCAGGGCTGGCGCTGAGTCGCTACCCTGCGGGGCTGGAGGGCCCCAGACTGGCTGCTACAGGAACGCCCGTTTTCTTCTTCTGGGAGAGATGCAAATAACTGAAGCTTGAACTAAACCTTGGAAAGAATTTTAGTGGCTTGAATTTCCCCTCACGTTTGGGTTTGTCTCTGGGGCCTGGGGAAGCCTTCACCATTACCCCTCCTGGTAGAGAGGCCAGCCTGGCTACAATTCCCAGGAAGGGGACGGGAAGCCCACAAGCAGAGCCAGCCAGCTCTACCAGGGAAGAAGGCGGCCAAGGCCTCTCCGAGGCCTGAGCCCAGTAGGAAGCCGCTCAAATGCGCCAAGCTACCAGAGATACCCTGTGCTGATTCAGACAGCGCTGCTGCCGGCCCTGGGCTCATCTGAGGAAGCATAAGGAAGAGCAGGGAGGAAGACAGGACGGGAGGCTGGGCGCAGAAGGTGAGCCCGGGGCCCCGGCCTCGGGCTGTTGTGCATAGGTGGCCCACACATGCAGTCAGGAACAGACTACTGTTGGACATAGTGTTTTGCAGAGTCTAAGGAGATGAAGTCCACAGTTGCAAAGAACCCCCTTTGGTGCATTCCCTTTACTTTTGAGAAGTGTGCAGATAACAGCCCGGGGGCTCCTCTCTCCCAGCGCCTCGCTGCCTCACGTCAGTCCCCTTTGAGCCGGCTGGCTTGGGGTCTCTAAGTGGCTACACTGCTCACGCAGGGCGCGAGGCTGGAGTGGGACCACAAGGGATGTGGACTCACAACCAAAATCTAGTTCATTTCATGCCAAAGCTCTGCTCCCGGAAGCCAGGGTCCTCCCTGTATCTCTGACCCCATTGATTCCTGGGCCCCGGGGTGAGCTCAGGAGCCAGGTAGTGAGGGATGCAAGGGGGGTGGGTGAGGGGTGGTAACCAGGTCAGAGGCCCTGCTGGTGCCCACTACCCAGGCCACAGGCAAATGGTTATGCAATCAAAAGCCAAAACATGATCACCAGGGCCACAAACAGGAAAAGCCGTGACAGGAACTGCTCATCCACATACTGGGGAGTCCCGGGAACAGCTGTGAAAACAGGAAGGAGAACGGTCAGCCGAGGCCTCAGGGCCTGGAGGCGCTCCAGCTGAGTCTCATGAGGACAAGCCCCTTGCACTCCACAGAACCCAGCCAATTGTCTGCTTGCTATCCAGCAGCGTCCCAGATGCCCCAGACTCCTGGGGGCCTGAGAAGCCCCTCGCCAGCAGAACTGACAAGGAGCCAGCTGACCTCGGATGATGGGGAGCTCACTACCTGCCAAGGTAGCCTAGTAAATTCTGTGAGGGTTCTAACTATTAAGAAGTTTTTTCTGAAATTAGGACCAAATTTGCTTCTTTACGAATAAAACGAAAACCAAGAACCACGTGAGAATCAGGAGGATCTGTTTGGACTTTGTGTAAGATAATTTTCCACATCTGCATAAGTAAGAGTTGACAAAGGCTCCTGGAGACTGGCCTGGGAATGCGACGACCGTCCGTGGTGCTCACGAGGCCAGGGAGGAGCAGCGTGTGGAAGTCTGGCCTCAGGCAGGAAGCCTCGGACTTAGCTCCTGGCTCTGGCACACATGGGCCTCAGGCAACTTTCTGAGCCCTGGGGACCAGCTGCAGTCAGCCGCTGGGGAGGGAGCCTCCACACTAGGAGATGCCCACCCTGGAGAAATCACTGGTCTGGACCGGGGAATCATCACCATGACCCTCCTTCCCTAACCCGGCGGCACGGGCAACCCTGGGCTCTCCCAGGGTAGGCCCGGGGGCCTGGGCTGAGGCAGGAGGGCCCCGAGTCCAGCCTGGCTACGTGCACCATGTCAGCAGGTGATGATGGCCACGTGCTAAGGGAAAGGGGGCTGTACCACGCACTGGTGGAAGGATGGGATACCTGGGATGGAATCCCGGCTCCCTGGTATCTCAGCACTCCCTATTGTGTGACCCTCAGTCCGCCTCGGGGAGCACTGCAAGGCCACACTGTGGCTAGCTCACAGGGGGCAGCACACAGAGCAGGCGGAGGCTGGCCTCACACCAGCGACTTCCCGTGGCATGTCTGCTCTGCTCAGGTCAACCATCAGGCCTCAGGGTCCCCACCCGAGGCTCCCGGCAGGCAGCCAAGGTGCAAGCTGGGCTTTCCAAAGACAGAGGACAAAGTGTGCTGGATCTGGAGTCAGGGACCTGGGAGTCACACCTGGCCCGTGTGGCCAGGAACCTGCCTTCCGGCTTCCCTGGGCCTTGGCTCCGGTCTGACACATGGGAAGGCCGGTGTGACCGCGGCGACGGCCTGGGGAGCAGGACACGCCCGTCACAGGACAAACCCAAGGGCGCAATTTGTTTGGCTTGATCCCGCACGTGTTATGCGGGTTTGCATTTTCTTTCCTTTTTCAATTAGAAAAAGGAAGGGGGAGGATGTCTAATGTGGGAGGGCTGTGCCAGCCAGGTTCTCGGGTCCCTTCCAGGCCTAGACCTATGATCTCATTGATCAAACATTGCACATCTACTGAGCAGCGAGTCAGAGGACACAGGGGACAGCCCACCCAGGAATCGACAGATCGTCCAGAGACGGGCCTACCTGGAGGAGGCCGCCCATCATTTATGTTAAACGCTGTGGCAAAGATCCCAAAAGGAAAGGCTCCGATCCCAAAAGACATCTGGAAGCCGCCATCTCCAAAGCCAAAGCCTTGAAATCCCTGGTAGAAGAAAGGGAAATAAATGAAGGAGATGCTGCAGCCCAACCCTTGCCATCCAGCCTGCTCTGCTCCTCATGGGCAGCCCTCAGCTCCCAGCCCGGGAGCTGCCACCCAATGCCATTCTTCTGCTGAGCCTTATTAGTCTCACTTTACAGAGAAGGAAACAGGATCCTCCCAGAGGACACCTACTGAGTGGGTGATCTGCGAGAGCAGCTGCCCACATCCACACACATCCACAACACAGATATATGGTAATCTGGCTGGAGGTGGGCATCCGAAAAGGCCGTGAGCTACCTGAGAGGCCTGGGGGGGCATTCTGGGCAGGGCAGACTACCTGGCAGAGGTCACATGACTGCGTCTGAGGGCATCAACTGATCTCAAAGGCCCTTCCTGCACCCCTGGCTAACGGGGCTCCCCCCCCCCATCATTTTGTATTTACTTTGTGTCTACACCCAATGATGCTTACTGTCTCTGATCCTGTCCTTGCTCCTGACAGACTGTAGGCTGCCTGAGGGTGGGCACAGGGCCTGGCACACAGTGGGCCTTTCAGAAATGCTTGCTGCCAGGCTGGCCTCTTTTCCTGCCCTCTCCTTACCACCTGCCTCCTTCCCTGCATGTCAGAGGTGACCGAGGACGCGGTCAGACGTGTGGCCGACATCCCATAAACACCAGCGTTCCTCACACGGAGCCTGAGGAGCTGGGTGGTGCAGACCTTTCTGCACCTCCCCTGCCTCCCCCTCTAGACTGAGCTAGCCCTACTCAGACAGAGGCGCACACTGGGCAGAGGCCCCAGAGGAGCTGTGGTCTTTTGGGGCCCTTTCCAGTGCTGTCCGTCAGAGCCCAGAGGGATCACGAGAGGCTGGGGGCCCACTGCCACAACGGTGGCTCTAGTGGAACTGAGAGAAGTCCCGTGCAGGATCCCACCGGCCAGCGGGAATGGGCATGGGAAGTGAGTGAAGGGAACCTTTGTGGGGGAGGAAGAAACAAAGAAACGTGAGAGAAGTGGAGGTGCCGGAGCAGGCCCTCCTTTGTGCTCCCTCCCCCGACAGCCGTGGCCTTGCCTGGGTCGTCACTGTTCTCTAAACAAGATGGCACTGTCGCCTCAGAAGAGGCCGGTCACGTGCGTGCCATCGGGCTCGTGCCCAGGTGGGAGAAGGAGCCCCCTCGCCCATAAGGGTTCATACCTGGCTCAGCCCTGGCCTGGGACCAAACTCCCCTGGGGAGCTGCCTGCTAAGGCCCATCAGCTGATTTAATAAGAGTGCAACTCTCCAGGGAGGGATCAGCAGCAAATCCCCACCCCCACATGCTGGGACGCCTCCCTGCCAGAACCCGTGGGGAACAGGAGGCGGCATGACATGAGAAAGCGCAATGATTTCATCAGGACCTGCCTCCTTGGGCGAGCTTGGCTCAGAGCCGCCTACGTGCCCCCCTGTGCACATCGCTCAAGCCAGATCCAAGGACTTCAGGCCCTGGAGCCAAGCCTGGGGCCTGAAGCCCTGAGGGCCAGGCAAGGATGGCGGGGGGCTGCCTCCAGGAAGGGCCACCAAAGAGCAGGGCCAGACATGCCGCTCCCCAGGCAGGCAGAGCTGAGCGACAGATGAGGGGTCTGCTGCTGGAACTCCCCAGACTGGGTTCTAGACCCAGGGAGTCCGGGCCCGCTGGGGCCGAACGCCAATTCTCCAGTTAGTGAGGCGGCCGCCCCAGGCAGCCCACTCAACCTCTCTATGCCTCTTCCTCCTCTGTGAAACCTGGGAGGTAAACCCAGCCTAAACCTGTCTGAGGGTGAGGCAAGGTGATGGATGCGATGGACAACATCATCTCAGGGTCCTTACCCCTCTATTTTCAGGCTCTGGTCTCTGTCCTTGAGGCCGGGGAGGCGTCTTCTCTCTGAAGAAGAAAAAGGGTGTGAAGTTTAGAGAGATTCGATGGTTAGGCCACGAATGCCAGTGTGAACGCTTCAGAACATCCCCGTTTAAGGGCAGTTCTGCTTCCCCACATATACTGTAAAAACCAAGAGAGAGCCAACGCCTCAGCACCACCACGCCCGGCCCAGACAAAGACAGAGGACCGATGTGGTCTAGAGCTGGAGTCTGCCAGGCGGAGGTCCGAGAGAGGCAGGGAGGAAGCAGAAAGATTCCACGGCGCGAGGGCGGGGGCAGGCTCACCTGGGGTCCTGCTGCCCGGTGCTGCCCCTTCCGTACAGAGGGATCACTTTGTCTCGGCTGATCCCAGCTTTGCACACTGGACACACCTGTCTGTTTGGTCTGGTCTCCAACCACTAAGAAAGGAAGCGAAAACAGATGTGGTGAATGGACGGGATGATGCCTCACGTGTGGATCCTCCAGCTCTTCAGCCCCTCACTTCTGCCCACTGACAGAGGTCGGCCCGGCCACAGCCAGCCATGCTGAGCTACAACTCTTGTCCTGCTGAATCAGCTCACACGAGAAGACCGACTCCCCCAATCTCTTCCAACGCCGTAGTCCACCTCCCTTCATCCTTTCCTTCTATAAATCAGTGTTGGTTATTAATAAAAACAACAATTAGGAGGACTCCCTTGTTATAACACACTAAGGCTACAAAATCCTTTCTTTCCAATGCCCCCATGAGGTGGGCAGTAGCTCAACTTGGCTCCTTAGCACCTGTAGGACCTCGGGAAGGTCACTTGTAACACTCCGCACTTCAATGCCCCCTCTGTAAGACAGGGGAGCTGTCCTGAGGCCCTCTGAGCTCTGAAGCTCGTATCCTTATTGCACAGATAAGGAGATACAAATTCAGAGAGAGAATTAAACTTGCCCACACACATAATGCACCTATGAGGGCTAAAAGAGCCAGGGATGTTTAGCATGGCAGGGGGCAGGGGCAGCGTTTGGCCGTCACCTAGGACGTGAAGGGCCGTCACTCCAAAAAGAAGCTTTCTGCTTGGCTCCAGAGGGTGGGACCAGGTACAACGGACAGAATGGAGGTCAGGAGAAGCTCCCTAACAAGGAGAGGCTGGAGGATGAAATGTCTTGGGGATCCCTTCTAAACCTGCAGTTCCGGGACACGTGTCTCTTTTCCTTTCCATACGCCCAACAGCCCAAGAAACACCAACTGCTCCCCCCTCTGTACAGGAGCTTCCTCGAGCGCAGCAGCTCAGAGCCCTGGCCTCCCCTCAGCAGACTGGCAGATGTCAGGCGCTGAGCGGCGCCCCCCTCCAGGGCCTGGCGGCCCATCCCGAGGGGGTAGGCGAGGCCGGCGGTCAGCAGCCGGATGTCCTCAGAGCGCTCCAGGAACGTGAGCACTTTCTGCAGTTGCAGTTACAGTAGAAGAGCCTGCAGCCCACCCTGAATGTCACCTAAGTGTGTCCTGTGCTGACTTTCTAGGCCCCGTACCCCGTGCCTGGTTGGCTGCTCCAAGCTAACCAATCTCTCTCATGGCCACATCGGATGGTGTGATGGGGAAGTGACAGGAAGGCCTGGACGAGGTCTCCCACTCTGTGCACCTGAACACTTGCCCACCAGGAGCAAAGCTCCGCAGCATGCCTACCACCACACTCTTTGTTGGTCCAAACGAGATCCCATAAACTCTTTCTTCTGACCAAGCTGCGTTTCTCCTTTGTAAGCTCTTCCAAAAATCCAGAGGCGAGAACAACATAAGCAGAACCTGCCTGGCACCTCCTAATCCTCACAAGCACTCCTGTGAGGCAGTGAGCCTAAGTATCACTGGGCCCATTTGAAAGAGCAGAAAACTGAGGCACCCAGATGAGACCCGGCCAACAGTGCACAACTAGTTAAGTCACGGACTGGGCCCCTAACCTGGGTCCTGCTGCCTTTCATGTAAAATTCCCCTGCCTCCTTAAAAGAGGCCCCCTTCTCGGTTCACCGGGCATCTTCTGACTGACTGGAGGCGCCCAAAGAGGAGATTACCATTTCTGACAGCAGCCTCAGGGACAAGGTGAGCTATTGTGCAAGAAAAGCTGATGAAAGACAAGGTAAAAAGAAATGCTTCTTACCTGATGTAAACATGGCCAACTGCAGGCATCCCCGGGGCAAGCGGTCCAAGGGAAGAGAGAGGGGACAAACAGAAAAAGAGTGTGTTAGCGGCAGCGCTGGGCTGGTGGGCAAGCCCCCATGTGACAGCAGAGGCAAAGCCTCACTCCGTGCAGGGACTCAGGCCGGCCTCAGCCACGGAGGCTCCACAGGCCTCCGCGTCCAGCCCTGCCCCCACCCCTCCATCCCTGCTCTTCCCCTCTCCTCAAAGCGTTCAGAACCACAGAATGTAGCACTGCCAAGTCAGCCGGACCCCTGCTCTGGCCTGAACTATTGGGCCAGGAAGCAAAGTCAGGAGAGGAACTCAGAAGCCACTCAGCCCGACTCATACTGACCAAGACACTCCCTCCCCACCCACCCACAAGTGTCACGTGGCCCTATTCTTCGGAGGGGCCTCGGACCTGCCAAGGCAGGCCATGCTGCTCGGGGACGGCTCCAGCGGTGAGGAAGCTTTCCCTTACAGATGAAGCTGGCTTTTCTGCAGCCTCTGGATTTGCCCTGCGTCAAACAAAACGAGTCTGCCCAATCCCCCTCTACACCCTGGAAGGCAGTTCTTGGGATCATGGGCAGGGTACCTCACTCCCAACACGCTTCTCCTGGTTCATCTGCTCCATTCTCCTACAGTGACCTTGGGACACTTTCTAACCTGTCAATGGCCTTCTCTAGGAGCGGTGCTCCCAATGGACTACCCCAAGAGGGAGGCAGCCTAGCATTTCCTGGAGTCTGGACATAGCGTCTCTCCTAATTCAGTCCCACGTCTGTTTGCGGGACGCCTCGTCCTCTTCCTGTCTCCTAACGGACCTGCGGTCCGCTTAATCCCCTCGGCCCGCTGGACAGTCAGCAGGGCCTTCCACCTTGTATGTGGGACTCTGTCCTTGTCACACCCAGAACAGGCCCCTCCATCTGTGCCCCGCACACTTCCCCTGTTGTCTTGGCCCACGAAGGCCATTTGGGACCCTAATGCCATCAGCTAGCCAGTCCTCCTCAACACTGGGCTGGGGACGCCTTTCTTCATGCACGCCATGGATAAAAGCGTCACACAGCACAAAGCAGGGCACAAACATCTGGGGCCCAGGGATAGCAGCAGCAGCAGTAACCACCCCCACCCCAAGCACCACCACTACACTTCCTAACATTTATATAATGCCTACTGTGTGCCGAGCAATGTGCTTCGTGCTTTACAATTATTATCTCATTTGATTCTCCAAACAACCCTGGGAGGAAGGTGCTATTATTATCCCCATTTTACAGATAAGGAAACTGAGGGACTTGCCCAGGGTCACACAACTGGGAAGCGTCTAAGGTCGGATTTGGCCTCAGGGGTTCCTGACCCCCTAGGCCACTGGCTGCCTCCCTCCCCAGCTGCCATGAAGCCACTCACGCTCCCTGGCGTTCAGTCCTTCTGCTGCCCCCTTCCCTCACTCCTCCTGACATCTCTTATCCCTCTTCTTGAATTTCTACCCACCCATCACTCTTTCCATGACAGCTTTTCCCCTTCTCACTGAACCATAAGCTCCCGGAAGGCAAGGCCTGGGCCCACGCCTCTTCTCTTTCCCCAGCAGGGAGCACGAACTCATCTCAGAATGATTCTGTGACCTCCACGTCACCCACAGTACCTCACGTGGCATGCTAGGGTTAGCCAGACCCGACAGCTACACAAAGAGATGAATTCATGAGCAGAGGCTTCCCCTCCACCAGGACACAACCTAACCTTTCCATCTCAGAGCAAAGTTCACTGGTTGTTGAAGCCAAGAAAATGTAAGTCCTGGGGCCAGGCCTGGCATATGGTAACTGCTTAAAAAATGCTCACTGATAGACTGGTGGGCGCCGAGCCTCCTTCCACTGAGCCAGTCTGGCCTGGGCCCACCCCAAGCCTAGCACAACCTGAAGAAGCCCAAGCTTGGCAGAGACACGAGTGAGAGGACTGGACCTCTGGGAGGGGATTATCAAATGCTGTGGAACTGAAGTTCCCAGTGTAAGAGACTGTGACAGTTCCAGGGAGAAGACGGCCGCCATCACAGAGGAAGGCCAGGCGTGGAGGAGGCTGGGAGGGTCGTGGCACAAAGCAAGGCCTCCTTGGCAGGCTCTCGCCTGGCCCTGGCTTGTCTGGGCTGGTTATGTGATTTATTCCAGTAGGTAAAGGTGAACCAGGCTCTTGACACAGATGACCGCATGTGAGAGTGGCCATCAACCATAACTAATCCAATGCACTTTTCCCAGATAAAGAAAGTGAGGCCCAGAAGTGACCTGTCCAAAATGACACGTCAAGGGACAGAAACCAGGTCTCCTGAGGCCAACCTGGGGCTTCTTACAGTCTCCAACCCTGCTAAACCTCCAGTCATGGGCTTTCAGGAACAAGAGGACCATGAAAAAGGATCACGACAAAGCCAAGGAAGAAGTGGACAAGTCAGTTCATCCCTCTCATTTCAATTTCTTCACCTGTAAAATGGAGCTAACGCTACCTACAGGACTTCCCTGCCACTACTGAGGCAAAGGAGGGCAGGCCGAGGGGCCAAGGGAGAAGCCGGAGCTCTCGGCTTCTGGCCTAACTCCTTTCACCAGCAGAGTTACCAGGAGCCAAGAAGAGGCCTCTGGTTCCTACTCGCTGGGCCAAGGCTGGCATGCAGCCCCAGCACCTGGGCCTCGCAGGCCGAGTCAGCAAATTCTCCCAATGACTACTGGAGGACGCCCCAAACCACAGTGGGTCAGACCCACCTGGAGACCACCGCAGGTCCATTCCCTGAAGTTGGGGAGGAAAAAGGAAGTCTAAGGATGGATGGAGAGGGCCAAGACTCGCCTCGTACAAGCTGGCTGGCTGAGCCTGTGGACTGGACTATGGAACTCATCTCTATTCTCACTAAAGGGCTTTTCTGGTTTCAAAGCCTCTGGTATCACAGGGTGTCACAAAACTCTCAGAACAAAATGTAATTATTTTCATTTAAGCTTTAACACCTTGGAATGGTCCCTGCTCCAAAACATTGCTTTTCAAAGACCACCTGCTCAAGTCCTGCTCAAAACACTTCAATAGCTCTCAGTGTCCTAACCCGGAAAACCAAAACACCAAGGCTGCCTGCTGGGCTTTCCAGGACTTCATCCTGCCTACCCAACCTCATCAGCCACCAGTCCTCACCAGATGCCAGAGAAGGTCCAGCCACGATGAGCCCTTCCCTGGCACTTAGCGCTGTGCCTGGAACCTGGGAGGAACTCTGTAAATGCTCATTGTACCACTGACAGGCTCACAAATGGGCTGTGAGGCCGCCCATCTCCACTCCTGCAGTTTCCCTGGGGTGTAAAGCATTTATCGAGTGCCACCCATGGGCCAAAGAACAGGAAGAGGGACAAAGACAGAAGAAGTCAGGCAGCGTCCTGCCCTCAGGAAGCCTGTGCTGTTAGGGGCCTGCAACAACACTAACGGTCAAGTGACCCCTGCTGTTACAGGGTGGGCTAACTAATGGGCAGCCATGGCCAGGAAAGGCTATGGTCAGCAGACAGGAAGGGGGCCTTCCTGCCACAGGGAACAGCAAACACCTGGAAGCTGGCCTTGTACAAGCCAAGAGGGAGTTTGGTCTGAAGGGAGGGAGTAGTGCAAGAGAAATGGGAGAGGCAGGAGGGGGGCCTTGAATGCTGGACTGAGTCATTCTGAATCTTTTTTAACAGGTAACACAGAATCACTGGAAGGTTCTGAGCAGAGACCTAAATGGATCCAGGTGCAAAGGGCAACCTGCACTACGATGGACTGGAAGAAGAAGGGCGTCCGGAAGCCTGGGAGGAAGGTGGCTACGACAGTGTAAGTGGGCAGTGATGAGCATGGCGTCGGGTATAACAAGGAGGAGAGCCAGGGACTCCAGAGAGCCCTTTCCTTCCCTACCTGGAAGGCCCTCCCTTACCTCCCTCTAATCCCAGCCCAGCGGGAGAGGCCCTAATCTTGCAGAGCAGAGAGCTCGCGGGCCTTCCCATCTTTGGGCCAGGATTCGGGTTCCTGATAGCTGCTGGTGATGGGACCCAGTGGGGGCTCTCGGAGCCTAGGCCTCTCTGTAAGGCTGCCCATAAGCCATGGCAGAGGGAAATCTTTACAAACCAAACGAAGGCCAGCCCCAACGTCTCCTCTTCCTCCCGGAAGCCTTCGCTGACCACGCAGCCCCTCTGCTCTTCCTATCTTTGGACCTACAACAGCATTTACAGTCATAGACTCCTAGCCTGGTAAAGCATGAAAGGAACCTTAGCAGCATCGAGCCCATGCCCTTCACTTCAGGGATGAAGACCCGGAGGCCACAAGGATCACGTGATGCCCACATGACACCTACCTGCACACCATGGGTCAGCTCTGCTCTTCCCACTACCTGAGTGATCCTTCCCCAGGAATTAAGACTACACCATTGTATGCAGATCACTTATTCTGACTCTCTCAGAAGAGTCCACTCTGAGGGCCTCCTCCGCCCCGGCAAGGCTGAGCCCGCACAGCACTTGGAGGGAAGGGTACCCCCAGGAAATAGTGAACCGTCACCTCCCCAAGCTGGGAACCCCTCTTCTGACCCACTGAGGCTCCTCTGCTGCTGCCCTGGACCCTCCGCAGGGACTCAGCTACAAGGGACAGGCCCAATCTGAAAAGATCCTACCCTTGGCAGGCTGGATGTCCTGACTGCTACTGCAGAAATGAGGCTGGGCCTCAAGAGGGGCAAATGTGCTGCTGTAACCAGGTCTTTTTGGAATTCCCAGTAAGGAACCTCCTTGGACGGGGTCTAAAACAAACTCCACTGAAAGAGAACCCGTATAGCAAGGCTCCAGGCATTAAAAACATCCTAAGGTTCACAAAAGGCTTTGGTTATGTTGGGTCACCGTGGCTGTCCACAACCAGCCCCAAACCAACAGCTCATGAGCTCTGAATTAGCCTGGGGGGGCCCCGGGCTCCCTGGTCTCCTCCCCCTGGGGCTCAGTACTGACCAGAAGAGGTGGCCACAGAGGCTGATGACAGCATCTTTGGCCGTGTCCAAGCAGATGTTGCACTCGAAAGTGCTGTCCTGACTGCCGTTCTCGCCGGGGCCGTTACTGCTGCTGCCGCTCGTACCCCCCGCGCTGGAGTTCTCGGGGGGACGTCGAGGTCGTGGGCCCTTTGCTGGCCATTTTCAGCCGTCCACAGAGAGCCAAGGCCAAAGCAGCCTTCTAGCCGAGCTCCTACAAGGCAAACAGAGTTGGACTGACCTCTAGTCCTGCCCCACCCAAACGTCCTAATACTGGAGAGACAAAAGCCAGAAGGCCCAGGGCAGCCGAAAACTTCAGGAAAGGCCCTGGCATGGCCGCATCAACCCAAGAGAAAGAGCTGACACTGCCGTCGTGGGCCCTCTGTCTTATCTGAGCCTTCCAATGACCCTGTGAGTGAGGGGCTCAGAGGAGATGGAGAAACCGTGACTCGCCTGTCCTGGTCATTCAGCTAACAGTGTCTGAAGCAAGAGCCAGACCCCATGATCCTGCCCCACACGAGCAGCCGTGCCCAACGATGAGAGCCGTCCAAGAGCGCCAGTCTACGCAGGTCACGATTCCGTGACTGAAGCCACACAACAGAAGAAATCGACGGCACCCCTGCATCCGGCCCCCTCCTTGCCACCCCGCCCAACTGGCTAATTCAGGCAAGGCCAACAAAGCGCTTCCTTCTACATCCCTGTGCAGGGTCACTATCGGGCCAGAGACAACACCGGTCTCCTGATTCCAAATCCAGTGTCACCCCTTCAAAGAAAGAGCCAAGGAAGAGAGCAGAGCAGAAGACGCCACCCTCACTCACCACTAGAGGACTGGGGCTGGCTTGGGTTGCAGGTCCCACAGCAGGAGGGGCAGCCTGAATCCTAGGTCCTTCCCTCACTGTGGCTGACTCAGACCCTGAGAGCCCGGCCCGCAAGCATCCCTCAGCACCGGCGGCAGCAGAGTGAGGCAGGGGGCCAGGAGGCTGCCTTGCTCAGGGCCTTTTCACTTTGTTACATCATTTTCCATGAGGTCCCAGAAGGGCTGAGAGCAGCAGCTCTGGGGCCATTTCTCTGCAAGCCACCCATTCATTTCTACCACCCCAAAGACAAGGGCTCTTTTGCTTCCCGTGACCCCCTCCCCACAGGCACACGAGGCCTGGCCCCCTCCTCACATTTGGTCACATTCACTCCTCTCGAGAGCCAGGCCGTGGGATTCTCTGGCGAGGTCACTGATCCCTCACACAAAGCAGCCCTCCTCGTGGGGGCAGACATGGCCAAGGGGGAAGAAGGTGGGAAATGCAGTGAGGTTTCTCTCCCTGCCCTCCCCCTTTAAAAATTTTCTTTTTTCTTGTGAAAGGAAGGATGGAAAATGGTCTTCATGGCAGCATATTTTCTCCAGGTTTGGGGCCTTCCCATTTCCAAGCAGCTTCACCTGCTTTACTCAGATTCAGGGCAGGCTCTTGCCCCCAAGTCAGGAAGCTGCTGGCAGGCACAAAGGTGGTCATGATTGTGTCAGAATCCCCTGGGCTAGCCCGGGGCCCTGCACACAGCTGGTGCTTACTGTTTACTGAACTGAACATATCTGGGCACGTCACCCTTCATCAGCTCCCAATCTGTCAGCCTCGACTTCAGATCGCCCCACAGGCAATGCCCCCTTCCCTCCCCTCCGGCCTCATCTTGCGCTCCTCCCTTACCCTCCACACAAGAGCCCACTCTGTTCGTGACTCCAGGGCCTGGAATGAATGCCCTGCCCACTGCATTCCCAACGTCCAACACAGATGCCATGTCTTCTGGGAAGCCTTGCCCATCGCACCAGGCCACTGGCAGGCCCTTTCCGGCCCTGAGCTCATTCAGCACTAATCGCTCCTTCCTCAGGGCACATACCTATTATTTTAGTCAGAGTCATTTACTGAGATGTCAAATAACAGCAGGCCCCAGCCCTTCACTAACCTTTGCAGCTCCCCCAGGGGCCTGTCTCTGCACATGGCCAATGTTTACCAAGCCAAGTTAATCCATTGTTTTCATTCAGCAAATTCAAGTTGTCCCAACAGTCTTATTGCACTCCTCAGCCTCTGACTTCAGACTTCTGAGACGCTCTGGGTATCCGTTGGGTCGCTGCTAACTCTAACACACCATGTGAGGTACTGGGGTGATGTGGAGGCCACAGCTGATGAGACTCCCCACCTTAGAGGAGAGAGAAGATGCCAGTACACGGGCAGAACGAAAAGGGGGCTTCTGAGGAGGAAGAGGCCACATCCCGCTGGTGGAACCAAGGAAAGCTTCACGGAAGAGGAAGAGGACCCGCCTGCGAAGACTTCCTGAGCTGATGCAAAGGGGGTGAGCAGAACCAGGAGACCGTGGCCCACAGTAAAAGCAACAGGATCAACTGGGATGACCCAGCTATTCTCAGTGATACTACAATCCAAAGGACACAGGAAGAAAAATGCTCAGGGGGCTGGGAGAACCAACCAGAGCAGACCTTCTTCCTTCATTCTTCTTGCTCCCCAACTTGGCTAACGTGGAGCTATGCCTTGCCTGACTTCACATGCGTAATGTGGACCATACTGCTTGCCTTCTCAACAGGTGGGGCAGGGGCAGAGAGCATCCGGAACCGAAAAAGCAAGCAAACCAAACAGCCCCAAAGGAACGAGCACGGTAGATTTTCCCAGGCCAAGAGAGCAGCAGCTGAACACTGATGGAATCCTGCAGAACCCTACCATAAGCAGACACGCGCAGGCCCGCTTGGTCCAAGAGGGCAGTTCACCGACAACGTCAGTGGAGAGGAATTCTCCGATCCAATCCAATCCACATTTATTAAACGCCAAGTACGCACTGGGCGCCAAGGTAAGTTCGGGGGATAGGCTTAATAAAAAGAAACAGTCCCTGCCCTCGAGGAGCTTGCACTCTAACCACCCACAAAAGGAGGCAGGAAAGGGAGATGGACAGAACCCACAGGCCGAAACCAGGCAGGGCAGCAGATACAAAGTGGAGTGAGCCCAAAGTCCAGCTTCTGCCCTCTATAAAGGAAGGTGCTGGGAGGAGCGTGGCCTGGCCCTCCAATCAAAGGGAGGTGGGTGGATCAAGGCTGGGGGTTAGCAGCTAGACAAGGGACTTGCACTCTCTCTCTGTAAACATGCTGTTTACTTTTCTGTGTTTATATTGTTCTCTACCCTCCTCCCACTCCCAAAGGAATATAGGCTCCTGGAAGGCAGGGGCCTAGGAGATGCCAGGCATTTACTAACTGCTTGTCTCATATTGAACACGCTGAAGCTCCTCTAGCAGAGGAAGGCCCAGAGGTGACGAGGCATCCCATGATGCTTCATCAGGCACCCAGGAAGCAGGCCTGCCTGTGCACAGCTGATGACGCCCTACTAAGAACTTTAAATGAAGACAGGGTAGAGCCAGCTTCCAACCTATTAAATGACCTCTCTGAAATGCACTGGTGGCCAAATGCTTAGAGATTTCAAAAACGCCTTCAAGTTCTCCAAATCAGGGCTTGAGAGGGAAGAAGAAGCAGGCGGCACCTCTGACGCATAAAACTGGGGCCCAGCCCCTACTCAGCAGTAGAGCCCGAAGAATCTGTGAGACTTTGGGACCACCTGAACTTGGAAATCCCTGGAAGAGAAGGAAAGAGGCCCATAGGCATTACAAATGCAGATGCTAAATAAGTCAGGCATTAATGAAAGTAAGAAATGTAGGATTGGGCAGGCTCCTTGGTGCCATGGGTGACTCATTAGAAGAAGGTCTCCCAGCCCTAATTGTCTAGTCAGTCATTCATTCACTTCACCAGGCAGGTTTAGAGACTGCTGGAGACAGAAGAGATCTCCCTGAGGTCCCAGTGGTGCAGTGACTGACCCCAAATCCCACTCCTCCTCCATGATTTACATGAGGGGGCTCTCCAAAAGACTGGCTGGTGAAGCCAGCTGAAGGCAGCATGGAGAGCACTTTGGCACAGAATAGTGGAACAAAGAGTGGCTAAGTTCCCAGGCTAGCTTACTCACAACATGGCCCAACACCTTGGGCTGTATGGGGATGTCATCAGTACCAAGAGCTCCTGGGGCGCAGTGAGGCCCATCACTTAGTGTCATAGCAAAGGGCCTTGGTGGCAGGTAAACAACTCATGTGTGTCAGGAAGAGGACCTGAGCAAAGACCACAGCTTCCTCCAGAGATCCTGACCGCTTCAGCATGAGCTGAACACTTCCATAAACAAACAGAAACCCAAATTCAGGATCCTGAGTAGAAAGGGCCAGGAACTTAGTGAGCAAAGTGGAGGAAGGGGTGAGAAAGCAGGGGACAAAGGTTCTTCTTAACCCAGTTCTTTCCCCCTGGGCCAGGCCAGGCCAGGCCAGACCGAGCTGTCTGGGGAATCTCCCCAGTCCCTCTGTGCATCCATTCCTTAAGAGACCCCTCACACTGCCCTTGACAAGCTTCCTACGTTGGCACCACCCGGGGCCGCCCTGACCCCCGATTCTCTTAGGGCTTCTTAACCCTGGTTAAGGCCTGGGAACTTCTAAAAAATCTCTTTCCTTTGTCATCTGATGTATGTTCTTTTATGCATGTAAACTGACGACTGAGAAAGGTCCCGAGGCTCCTCCAGACTGCCTGCCTCAGGGGGCCAGGACCCAAAATCGGTGAAGATTTTGTCCCACCAGGAAGCCCTCAGTGGAGCTAATTTCATCAGTTATAGCAGGAAACTCTCTTAGTTTCCTCTTATGCAAAATGAGGGAGATGACGCAGACTCCCCAAGTCACTCCCAGCTCTATCCCATAACCCCCTGAACTTCAAAGGTCCATCTAGTCTCTAAAGCTCCAAGTTTTCCCCTGACAACAAGTGGCAGGCTCTGGGGCTACACTAACACGGTGGGGTTGTGACTGTTCCGGGGGGGGGGGGGTATGGTGAGAGTGGGGGGGTCATCACCAAGCAGCACCTTAGGCCTTGAGCAGATTTCTGGCAGAACTGCTCTGCACAGCAGCTGTTATTCACACTGTCCAGATGGCAGTCTCTGCTCTGTGAGTCAGACTACAAAGGGCACGCATTTCAAGTCAGGGGCCTGATGCCAAAGCCTGCTTTCAAGCTACGGGACTGAGGCCTCAGTTTCCTCGGTCAACCTGACGGGGCAGCGACTCTGCTCTTCAGACGCTCTCCGAAGTCCCTCTCAGCTCCCGAGCCTCCCGCCCTGGGAAGGGCTGGTGTGCACATCACACTTAGGCAGTGTGAGCTGGGGAAAGGGCCCAAATCTGCAGGCAGGAAATCTCATTTCCAGGACTCTGAGGCACTGATTAGTGATGTGACCACAGGCAAGTCACTCTTGTTCTAGCAGAGCTGGGGGGGGGGGGGGGGCGCGGCGCCCTTGCCTCAGGGAGGCGGTGATCTGAGGGCTTTGGGCTTGGTGGAGGCCTACTGTCTAGGGCTGGCCAGAAAGCACTCAGGAGAAGAAGGGAATATTGTCACATGCCTGTCAGGATGAACAGGGTTCCTTACATCTACACGGGCAAGACACAAACGCATGTGTTTTTAGCTGCTGCCCCACCCTGCAAAAAAGGATAAGAGTCAGGCCTGCCTGATACATCTGATCATCTTAAAACTGTCCAACATCCCCAATTATGCAAGCTGCAGCCAAGAACCCCAGAGCGGCGATGATTCAATGTGTGTGCCCCCTTCAATGAAACACTCTCTCTCCACTGTCTCTCTCTTTCTGTCACCTACACACCTAGACACACACACACACACACACACATACACACACACACACCCCTTAGCAGACTGCCTTCAGAAACTGTCATAGCCAAAAAAATGCATCACCTTCTGGTTTGCAACTGGTTACAACTTAGAAGAGACTGGTGCTGAGCCAGCAGAAGGTCACGACTGCTAGAACTCTCCCCGGGCTTTGTTTGACAAGCCAAGGCCACTTCCATGGCAAACAAGGAGTCTCAGGAGGCTGGAAGGCCAGCTCAAGAAGGAGCCGAAAGAGAGCAGGCCTCAGAACTGGCAAGACTAGGCAGGATTTAAGCACAGCCTCTACTACAGAAGGGCTCGGGCACTGAGCCTCTCAGGGATCTATTAACGGCAGAGAAGTGCTAACCTAGATTAGGAGAGGGTGTGTCCTCATCTGGGAGGTCCTAAGGCAAAGAAATCTTAGGGCCAAACTCTATCCACAGCAATATAAGGGCTTTCTTCCCAAGAGGCCTGGGAGGCATTTAGTGCAATTATTATTGTCCCCATTTTATAGATACAAAAATTGAGGCCGAGAGGTGAAGTTACACAAATGTTATCTATTTTAAGTCACTTGCCCACGAAGTGTCTGAGGGTGGATTTGAACTCAGGTGTCCTGACTCCAAGTCCAGTACCTTCTCCATCATAATACAAGCCTCTCACACTATGGGGAATTCTCCCTCCTTTCTCCCATGGTCCCTCACTTTGGGCAATGATAACTGGATCATCTTTATGGGGGGGGATGGAGGAGGAAGACAGACACAGACAGAGACAGAGAGAAGAGAGGAGAGGGAGAAAGACAGAGACAGAGAGGGGAGAAACCCAAGGATGGAAGGGCCTGGCTCCCTCGACTGCTTGCGGGGGGCTCTCCCATCAGGAGATGCTGCTGAGCCAGGCTGGGCATTCGTTTGTTTTTCCTTTTACCGTGCTCAGTGGTGACCGCCCCTCCCTAACCCGTTCTCAGGAAGTCCAGTGTTAGTCAGGAGAAGACAGGTACCTGCGTCAGTGCTGGCTACCTCCTGGCCAGGGATATGGGAGAGGGGCAGAGTTCTGGTACAGGTCAGATTCCACGACCTCTGAGGTCCCCAGGTTTTCTAAGGTACAAAACAGCCACCTCATCACAGATCATATATTTTAACAACTGTTGCAGTTGCATTAAATAAAAACAGACACATATTTGCCCAGTGCCTTCAGTAATTGAATAAAAAAAGCAAGAAACAGCACAAACATTATTCAAATTATGCCTTTACAGAAAGCACAAGGGAAGACAATGCTTCCAATAATGAGCTACAAGCCCACACAAATGCCCATCCCTGAGGAAAAACATTTCCAATTAATTTTGTTTTTGCCCCAACCTGGGATCTCCTTGGTGTGAGGAAGGTCCAGAGTGGGGTCTTCTGCACCGGAACAGATGGTCGTACAGAGTTACCTGAGGGACTGCAAGGTAAACTGCCTGCCCTTTTCTGGTCACACAGCTAACGTGTCTGAGGCAGCAACAGGGCCCCAGTTTTCCTGGTTCAAGACCAGCTAATTGGTCACTCTTGCATGCTATCTCACAAGGAAAATAGATAAAGCTCTTCAAATCGGTCAGAGCCAAACTCAATTTTGGTGGCAGTTACTTCATCTGCCTCGCCTCAGTTTCCCCACCTGTAAAGGGAGGGGGCTGGACTGACTGCTTTCTAAGGTTTCTTTTAGGGCTGACATTCGATGATTCTATGAACATTCTCTAGGCCTGGCGAGAACTCCATTATCACATGGCAGTTCTGGAATTTTCAAGAACAGAACATCGGTGCTGGAAGGGACCCCACAGGCTGCCCGGGGCCCCAGTGATCATTAAGACGGTGGCTTCTAAAATGCCTGATGCTATATCCTTATGAGTAATTTTTTTCTTGGTAAGTACTGGGGGATGAGGGTGAGAGGAAGGTTAAGAGGGGTTGGTGATTTTCTCCAGTGGCTTCTGATGCACCTGCTACTATGGGGGGGGGGGGTTAGAACTGCCTGGGGGCCATCAGAAGGAGGAAAGTGGCAAGTTTCACGGAGGCAGGCCTGGGTGTAGTGGGGATGAACTGTACTATAATGGGGGGGGGGGAAGGCCGGTGTAGCTGTATTAGTGAGAAGCCTCAGGATCTGCTCACTTAGGGAGGGCGGGGTAGGACCCATCTTTCCACCCTCAAACCAGCAGGGGTCAGGCCACACCCTCTTTGCCTCAGGTCAGGCTAAAACAGCACTAATCCAGACCAACTCCCCATTCCACAAATATGGAAAATGTGGCCTGAGAAGGCTCATGCAACATATGCCGAGTCACATGACCAACAGAGAGGCTTTCTGATTCAGCCACACCATACCAGCCTGCCATGGGAGTGACAAGGAGTGTCCCCCTGGGGGCCTCAGTTTCCACCTCTGTAAAGTGTGAAGATTAGTCTCAATGACCTCTAAGCCCTGCCCCACCCATCTCTAGTTACAGAGCTGGAAAGGACCGCAGAGGCGCCATGTCCAGTGCAGACCCAAGCAGGAATCTTCTCTACCACACACCCTACCAGTGGTCATTCAACCTTTGTGGGAGGAGGGATCCCCAAGGAAACCTACCACCTTCCTCTCGGGAGAACCCACCTCCTTTGGAATGGCTTTGTCCTGCCTGCCAGCCCACATGTGCCTCTCTGCCCCTCCCCCCAGGGGCCAAGCAGATCACGTGACAGCCCTTCAAAGACTTGGGGCCAGCACCCGGCCCTCTCCCCCCATTCTTGCTTTTCCAGGCCAAATATCCCAAATTCCTTAAGCCAAGCTTTTCAAAACACGAGCTTGGTGCCCTCACTGTCTGGCCTGCTGTCCTCTCAACATCCCCCAGCTTACCAATGTCCATCCTAAAATGAGGGAAGGAGGGACAGAGGGAGGGAGGAGGGAAGGAAGGGAGGAAGGGAAGGACGGATGGACAGGCACAGCTGATCAGGGCATACACAGACTATCACCTCCACAGGCCCAGACACCCTCCTCAGCTGCCATATCCCACTGCTGAGTCACGTTGCTTTGCAGTGCATTAAAACCCCAAGATGTTTTCCAGATGACTGCTTTCTCACCGTGCCTCCCCCACCTTACACGTGTGAGCTGATCCTTGGAGGCCATGGTTAGGGCTCTGCATTTATTCCTCTCATTAGATTCCACCTCCAGCCTGGCCTCCTAAGATCTCTTTAGACCTTGACTAGTAGCCAATACGACAGCTCCTCCTCTTCACTCTGGGTCTTCTAAAAGTGGCTCAGCCTGTGCCATCTGTGCTTTTATCTACCGGATCTACAGCCTCCACACCTTTACCCGAGTGGCTGATAAAAACGTTAACCACTGCAAGGCCAAATATCCCTGGAACATGTGGCTGGAAACCTCGTGCCAAGCTGATGCCGAAGGAGTGGTTCAGAACCCAGAGCACACCTCTCATCTTTTCCCTAAGAACAGCACGAGAGGTTCGTGCTTTGCTACAATCTACAAACTGCACCTAGAGCAACACGGCCAGACCAGCTTGGTAAGCCAGGCACACAAGGACAGGAGGAGAGCCTGGAAGGCCATGTGCTGGAGGAAGCCAGCCTGGCTCCTTGGAATCCCACCTACCTTTTCTTGATGTTCACTTCCCTTCATTGTCTAGAACTGTGCCGGGAACTGACTTCATGCTCATCGGACAATAGATGGCAGGCTCCATGTGATTCCCTTTTCTGGCAATTGAGACAATCGCTTACTTCTCCAGGTCAGCGGTCCCCTCCCAGTTCTCCTTTACCAGTCCAAGGCCACTAAGCAAGGTCCGGTAGTCACACCTGCCAGTACAACTCCATGCCGCTCCTCCTCTTGAATACCACCTAGGGACCCTCCAGACCACCTGGGCACCGCTCGGTCCGGTTCTCTTGACTGAGAACACAGAAGCAAAGAAGTGCCCGGCTCTGCCTTGTCTCTCATCTCAGTCCCCAGAAGACCTGGCCCTTTCTTTGAGCGGCCACTCTTCCAACTGCTTCTGAAAACCCTCCTTCACAGGCCCTGGCCCACCTGGCTCCTTGGCACTCCTGACCCCACTCTCACGGGACCATGCTACACCTTGGCATTTCCTCTTCCATCTGGCCTTCCAGCCCCCTTCCTCACACACCTTTTAAAAGTCTAGGTTGGCTGGTGACTTCCTTGTGCATCCCCACTGGTCTCTTTTGATAATGCCCTCTTTCCCTCCATAACAGAACTGTTTCTTTCTGAGTCTTCAGGATTTCATGCTGGAAAGACAGCGAGTCAGTTCAGGTCTGCCCATCGCTCCTCGATGGTCCTTTTCCAGTCCATGTGGTCTCAGATCACGTGCACTCTTCCAGAACTATATTCCAGTCACACGGCTCGCCCCAACAAATATCAGTGATGTCGCTAACGTCAGGGTCTCTGGCTCCTCTTGCTTGTAATCCCCACCTTGGGCATTTCTGTAGGGACACCTGAGGTCACAGGTTGTATCACCAAGTCCTTTCTTGATTTCTCTCCTGGGAATGTCAGGAAATCTCTCCTGCTCTTCATCCCCTGAGCCGCAGTCACTCCCCATGTCTAGGGTACGGACCTAGTTTAGTGCAGAAGCACAGGCAGTTTTCTCCTTCTCCTTTCTTTTTCAGTTAAAAATCTTTGTGTTCAGATTTTTTTCAGGACCTCATGACACAACAAAGGAAATGCTGATGGCAGACGTACGTGGGGACAGCAAGCATACTGCAGAAACCGTCAAAGAGGTCAGAAATGACAAATGGGCCCACCTTTCTGACCCATTTCCTTTCTTCGCATTTCTTCTCACATCAAAGATAGCACCCAAGGTGCAGAGTCCTTATGAAATGCAGCCAGGAAGACTAAACCCGAAACTCTATAATAGAGTGTGTGTGTGTGTGTGTGTGTGTGTGTGTGTGTGTGTGTGTGTGTGTGTGTGTGTGAATAGAGGCATATCTTGAAACCTCTAGTGCACCTCCTGCCAATGCATCACCACAACAAGGAGGCAAGCCTGGTCTCTTAAAGTCTAGGCCAGGGGTGGGAAACCTGTGGGAGGGGCAGGATGGAGTATGGGAGGTTTATCCACTTAACAGCTGGGACAGAACAGGAAAGGTCTGAAGAAGGAGGTGGTGCTGCGCTGCACCTAGGGATTCTATGAAGTGGTAATTAAGAGGGATGTGGGACACAGCAATTTATCAACCTACCCTACCAGGACACAGAGATGCTCAAAATATGGGCTGCTGAACAGAGTAAAAATGCGAATGAAAATCCCAAGTCCTTGAAATACTGACCATCTATTTCCTCAAAGGGCTGCCTCTAGATTAGTATTTTTAAAATGTTAATTTCTCCGCCATTAAACTGAGGCCAAGCCACCCAGCACGTGGATAATTAGCAGGCATTTCACAATTTTTAAAAATGTTGGCAGATGCAAAGATGTGCTAGAGTCAGGCACGCAACCACATGCCAAGAACATTTTCTATTTTGAGAATCTCAGGTACTGGGCTTGGCAGGACGTGAGGCTGCGCAACCAGCCGCAGCACAACTTTCAGGACCCCACTGCTTCCCTGAGGTCACGACTGCTAATCTCCCTGAGTGCATCACACGTCTGTGTTTGTGCCTTCTCGCTTCCCCAAAGACGGAGAGTTCCGTGAAGAAGGAAGCCACGTCCTAGCTAAACTTCTGTATCTCCTCCAAGACTTAGCAGGATAGTCTGCACACAGCAGGTGCCTAACGAATGTCAACTCAATGGTGAATGAAAATGATTCTGGGATTACATGCAGGATAGATTTATAAGCAGGATGGCTATTTGAAGACTTTAAAATGTTTAGAAAATTAAACACCAGGGGGCACCTAGGTGGCACAGTGGATAGAGCACCAGCCCTGAAGTCAGGAGGACCTGAGTTCAAATCCGGCCTCAGACCATACACTTGACACGTACTAGCTGTATGATCCTGGGCAAGTCACTTAACCCCAACTGCCTCAAAAAAAAAAAAAGGAAAAGAAAAGAAAAGAAAATTAAATACCAGAAGCACTTTTCAGCAGAAGATAGTAACATTTTATGTCATGGCTGAATGTTATAGGTCAAAACAAATAAATGTTTGCTGAATGAATCCATCAGCATACTTCAAGGCCTCAGTAAATTTCAAAGCTGGAAACGACTTTTGAATGGGATTAGTCGATTGTCAACTAAACTTAAGCCCGAAGAAGAAATGGCCGGCTCCAATGCTGCCACTGGGGGAGAAATGAGCCAGGCCTGGGAACAAAAGTCTCTATTGAAAACATGAGCCCAACACAATAATGTCAGGAATAATGGCTAGAGAACATGGCATGGTTCTGCCTTGCTTCCAACCCATTCACTTCTCTCCTAAAAGGAATTAAGACTTCGAAGTTCGAGGGGACTCAAAGCAAAGTGTCTTCATGTACATGGAGAACATGAACCGATTTGGCTCCACCCAATGGCTCCTGCATCCGAGGAATCCTCCAATGATATCAAACTGTCATTTTGGACTTGCTCAGTGTAAAATTCCTAACGCAGGCCAAAAGGCCAAAGGCTGAGATCGAGTGCCTGGAACTACTCTGGGGTCTGGCCAATCAACCAGGTCAAAATTCACCTTGTTATATTGCCAATTCAGCTTACATCTCTCCATCTTTTCCCCAATAACACAAGGGATTTTGCTAAAATCTAGGTAAACTCTACCCGGGTCATTCTCCTAGTCTCTAGGCTAGAAGAGGATACTGGGTTAACTTGGTGTGACCTGTTCTTGACAGTGCCCTGCTGGTCCTTTGTGCTCACTCCTGCCTTTTCTAGACGGTCTCTAGTGATTCCTTTCATGATTTATTTTAGAATTGTGCCAGGAATGAAAGTCAAACTCATGGGCTTCTTACTTTCTCCCCATGACGTCTGCCCCTCCTGAGGCTTCGGCCCCATCTCTATCCTCCTCACTGCCAGCAGCTCACACATGTGAGCCCATTATGGCCCACGGGCATGGAGTTCACTCCCTGAGGCTCTCTGACTGTCTCCGTGAGTGTCCATGCTGACCTCTCTTTAAACAACTTCTCCTTTTCCATCTCTACAGATCTACTTCTCTTTTTATCTTCAGAATTTCCTGCTTGGGAGCTTGCCATCCGTCCTAGGATAACTTCCTTTATAGAACTTTGGTCCAAGGAATAAATAAATGACATCTTTGTAAGCACTTCTAGGCCCAAAGCACTCTGGATACAAACAAAAAATCAATTCAGCCTCTGCTCTCCAAGAGTCCACATTTTACTAAAGGGAGACAACACAGCGAACATGGTGTCAGCTACAGGACAGACCCAAAGCCCCAAGGGTCCTCGGGATGCAGCAGAAGGGCAGGTCCAGGGGTCTAGGCTGCAAGTAACTCAGTTTGGCTGGAGTACGGAGGGGAGAGATGCGGTGGTAAAGCGTTCCCTCCCCAAACCCTGAGTGTATTTCACATGTCTGGCCAGCCTCCCTTCCTCTACCCAAAAAGTCTAAAATAGAGCGTTGATGTTGTTGCAAGGCTCCCACCACACCCAGGCCTCTCTGAACCACCTCCTCCCCTGGCTGATCTAGTTCCAAGCAGGTGATCTGAAGTAGGCTTGGATAGTGGGCTCATCCCGGCCCCTCCCTCCAACTGTGCAGATTGCACCCCATCCGTTCCTTTGAATCCCTTGCAGCTCCTGCCTGTTCTCTGGCAAATCCTCCCCACAGCCATCGACCCACCACCCTCATTATCATTCAACATTTCATCAGCCTCGGTCCTCGGTCCTTAGTCCTCATCGGTATTCTCAGGCCTCTACCCTCCAGCAGTCTTTCCAAAGCCTCCACTGAAGGAGGGGGCCCAGGCCAGGCAGCTCTTCCCTTCCCACCCAGAGGTACTCCTTTGGACTTCCCCATCCTGCCCTGCAATGGGTACCTTCCCTCCCCCCGGCTTCCGTTGGCGGTTTTTTCCCTCAGTAGACTGTAAGCTCCTTGAGGGCAGACACTATCTTTCTTTTTTGCATCGCTCCCCCACACTTAGCATAGCGTGGTGGCATGCAGTAGGTGCTTAATAAAGGTTTACTGACTGAACATCTCAACAGTAATGGAGCAGGCAGGACGTTATCCCCTGGCCACACTATGACTAGCCTCCCTCCTCTTCCTTTGTTTTTTTTTTTTTGGTGAGGCAATTGGGGTTAAGTGACTTTCCCAAGGTCACACAGCTAGTAAGTGCTATGCGTCTAAGATCACATTTGAACTCAGGTCCTCCTGACTCCATCTACTGCGCCACCTAGCTGCCCCCTCCCTCCTCTTCCTTTGGATGATACCTTTGATGCCACTTTTTATGGGCGATTCCTCATTGGTAAAACGCCGCACAGCCTGTTTACACTCGCACGTGATCTAACGCTGACCTTCGGGTAAAGTACATCTTGAATTCCCTGGAGACCGTGGTATAGCATGAGTCACAGCCTTAGAGCACCACTATTGGTGGAAGGTTGGGCCTTTGCTTCAGGGAGATGTCTGGGGTCGCTGGACACACTGCAAAATTCCCCAAACTTAATCCCACCTACTTTCTCCTAGCGTCCTTTTCTATCATGGACCTCGATCACCGTCAGCGGGCTGCACATATCTAAGATGCTACTGAATCAGTCCTCTGGGCTGTCTACCCAACTGAACATCATTGTCCAAACAACAGACCTTCTACTTGGTTTTTCTGCTGTAGAGGGTAATATCAAACGGCTTTGATGGATCAGGGACCTCATTGACGGGGTTCTGTAATGGTCTGAGGCTTGGTGTAGAAAATAAAGGCCTAGAAAACCCAGGCTTTCTTCTTGCAGCTGGCCTCTGTGCTGACAATGGGCAACACCTCCTGGTTTTATGCCTCATTGGACAGCACTAAGTGGAGAGGTAAACAAAGTTACTTCTGTGATCAGACCTTTCAGGGACTCTGGTACGATTTTAATCTACGGCAAACACCTTGTTGGTGGCTCTCCTGAGATTTTTTTTTCATAGTCCACACACAATACCTATAGAGAAACCCGTATTTGCTGGCTTTTTAATCAACTGTATAATTGTTAAGACGTGATCTGCTCCAGAAACTTCTCTGCAAATGCCTACTTGTTCCCTTCTCTCAACCATGTTACGGGAGCCCTTAATACGCATCATGTACCGATTATTCTCAGGAAGACTTCTGCAGACGTGGGCTAGTCGGGATATGGTCAGTAACTGATAATCTTTTCAATCATTCTTTTTGGGGTAGTAATAGTATCTAATTTCCCCCAAGCATTTGGTATCCTCCCGGCTTTCAGATATGCTGAGAAGGATCCCTCAAGGCCCACAAAATTCTCTGTGTCTATCTGGTGCAGCTTCCTGTCTGTTACCATTAGCTCAATATCTGCTTTCTCACATAGCACATCAAGGGCTGTGATACTCAGAGGGGCAGCTAGCTGAGTGATTCTGGGCAAGTCACTTAAACCTGTCTGTTTCAGCTTGTAAAATGGAAAGAATAAGGGCCCCTCCCTCCCAGGGTGGTTGTGAGGATCAAAAGAGATAAGGATTGTAAAGTGCTTAGCCCAGTGCCTGGCACATGCTGAGCAGGACAGAAATGTGAGCTATTTTATTATTATTATTATTTTCAGATATGGTGGCTCCCAAGTTTGTTACAGAGACCTTTCTATTTGTCTTCTCTTTGCTCTTCTCCAAGTTTCATCCTTCAAGACTCTGAGGGTGGGTCACTTTTGTTCCTCTCTCCCAGGCTTCTCCACCTCTGCTTTCCAATTTCTTTACGTATGTTCTTTTTTTTTTTCCTTTTTTGGCTAGGCAATGGGGTTAAGTGACTTGCCCAGGGTCACCCAGCTAGTATGTGTTATGTGTCTGAGGCTGGATTTGAACTCAGGTCCTCCTGAATCCAGGGCCAGTGCTCTATCCACTGCACCATCTAGCTGTCCCTCTTTATGTATAGTCTTAACAATGATATTCCATTCCCACCCTCTTTTATCTATGTTATTCCTTCTGAATAAGGGGCATCCTTCTAGACCTACTGGTAAATCTTTTCCCACCAAATCTCAGTGGTCAAACTTGTCTCCTTTCCTTAGGATTTCTCATTTTCTTTGCTTGTTACCCCTAAAGAGAACCCTTTTGGTCAAAGACTCTGCCATTTAAGAAAACCTCTGCACTCTGCATGTCCAGCACAATACCTTCCATGCAAAGAGAACTTAATGAGGAGTCATCACGTCTTACTTGTACAATTACAATCCTCTGGTCTCCTGGGCTCCTTCCTCTCCAATACTTCATTCACACAGCTCCCAAAACACTCTTTCTAATACTCAGGTGCGATCATACCACTCCTCTGTCCAAAAGCCTTCACTGTCTCAATTTTCTTTAGGAAAAATTTGATTAAAGGGGACACGGAGGCAAACAAAATGGTCCTTACTCTTGTAGCATACGGTAGATCAAAGAAAACAATACAAACAAAGATAAGCAGATAGAAAAATATAAAAAAGTACCCCAATGAGAGGGGCCAGGCATCAGATTGGGAAAGGCACCTGAGCTAAACCAGAATCAAAACAGGGATGACTGAGGTGACTGGAAGCACGTTGGTGCCTTCACCTGAAACAGGCAAGATCAGAAGAGGGCCAGGATCAGGGGGACAGACAAACTTGGTTTCAGGCGGGTATGGGGTCTCAATTTCTCTAGTGGGTAGTTAGCTGGGGGGGATGGGAGTTTGGGAGAGAGGCAACAGCTGCCCAAATACGGAGGCCTTGCCTTCAAGGCCTCCCTTCACACTCCCCTAGCTGACCTTTCTGGCTCTGTCTGATACCAGTCTCTCCCCTTCCTTCATTCTGTGTCCCAGCCTAACCAGACAAGTGTTCCTGGTTAGCTTACTATTCCTGGATCTCCTTCTTCCCTCTCCCACTTCTATGAATTTGAAGAGCCGGGTGGGCCCAACCCTAGGAAACATGCCTCTTCCTTTTCTGGGCCCTTCTTCAAGGGCCAGCCCGGGCCACCTACCTAAAGAAGCCTTCTCTGCCCAGCCACTCCACTCCACTCGGCTCCGCTCCTCTCCTCTGCTCTTCCTCCAATGATCCGAAGAACTTTACCCCTGCCACTCCTTCCCCTGTGCAAGGTCTCTTAGCACAGCTGCAGCAGCCTTCTTGGGCTGGGAACAAGGTCCCTGCCCTTTTCTTTATCTTTGCCTGCCCGACGCCCAGTCCAACGCCTTCCCAGTAAAAAGAACTTAAACAGCAGAAAAGGCAGGCAGGAGTTTAACTAAGTCAGGCCCCTCAGTGGGAGGAGGGGCAGCCTTCTCAAGTCTCAACCCTCCCAGCTGGTGACTCAGGCTGCGTAACCCTAGGCGCTCTTCGGGCTGGGCTGGGAACAAGGTCCCTGCCCTTTTCTTTATCTTTGCCTGCCCGACGCCCAGCCCAACGCCTTCCCAGTAAAAAGAACTTAAACAGCAGAAAAGGCAGGCAGGAGTTTAACTAAGTCAGGCCCCTCAGTGGGAGGAGGGAGGAGGAGCAGCCTTCTCAAGTCTCAACCCTCCCAGCTGGTGACTCAGGCTGCGTAACCCTAGGCGCTCTTCGGGCTCTGAGTGGCCACATCGCCCTCCTCCAGGCCAGGACCAGCGCCGGGCACAAGGCGGGCCCGAGCCGCGCTGACCACGGGCACGGACACCCGGGAGGCTGGAAGCTTCAGGGGTGCCCTGTTGCCCTTCTGCCCGGGTTCTCACCTACTGGGGAGTTTACACACAGGGGTTTTTACATGCCCTCTGGTGCTCAGAATGACGCCGTGGCATAGGCGAGCGGGGATTTTCAAGCCCATTTTATGGATGAGCAAAGGGAGGCTCAGAGGGGCAGGGCTCTCCACCGCTTGGGCTCAGGGTCACGGCCGCACTGACCACAGCAGGCGCAGGAACAAGGCACACGGTGAAGTCAGCGCTGCGGCCACGGCTGACCAGCCCTAACCCACGCTCCTGCCCCGGCCGGGCCGCCCCCGGGGCACCTAAGTGGCCCTAAGGAGGGGGATCAGGCATCACCAAAAGAGGGGAGGGGGCGTCCTGGCCCAGAGACTGCAGAGCGACTGCGCAGTGGCAACGGGGCCACAGGCGGGTGACTTCGTCAGCTCAGAAACCAGCCACGTTTCGTAAGGCGCATGCGCAGGCAGAGGCAAAAGGGTTAGGGCCCGAGGTTCCGGCCTCACCCGACATAATAAAGCGCATGCGCAGGTGGAGCTAAAAAAAGTCGACGAGCAGACGTGGTAGTCCGTCTCCCAATGCAGCATGATCTAGGGCGCATGCGCAGTCTCACGTTACACCATTCGAGCCACCGCCTCTCCTCTTAGCGCGCCTGCGCACCGAAAAGTTATAGGGGGCGTGTCACAGCCCCAGACAGTCCAAGAAGGAGGAAGCCCCCCCCCAGCCTCCTACGGCACATGCCCAGTAGCAGGTTGAAGTACGTCCTGAGGAGTCAGACCCCCGCCTTCCCTGCCCTGCCACGGCGCCTGCGCAGCCGCACAGGGACCCGGAGAGGAGTTCCCAGCCCGCTCCCTCCCCGCCCCCCAGCCCAAGGCCAGGCCCGCACCCCCAGTGAGTGCAGGCGGCCCCAGAGCGCCGCGGGCCACGGGCCGCCGAGGTACCTCAGCGCGCGCTCACTCGCTCGCTCCGTCTACCGCCCGTCACGTCAGTCAGGCTCCGGCTGCGGCGGCTCCAGAGCCTCCTCCGCGTGATCCCGTCACCTGACGCGGGGGGATAAGGCCTACGCGAAGGCACTTCCGGCCCGCGCCCGGAAGAGAACGGCCGGGCACCGTGGGCGGACACCTTTGGTCTGACGACCAAGGTTCCGCCTGCGAGCGAGGCACGTGGGGTGCGGAAGGGGCAAGGACAAAGCACCGAATGTCAGGAGGAGGGGCGTAACAATAGAATGTCAGAGCTGGAAGGGGCCTCAGAACAGAGACTGTCATGGCTGGGGGTGGCCTTAGAAGAGGGGACATCAGGACTGGGAAGGTTCCTAGAACAGGGAGTGTGAGGGCTGGGAGAGGCCCTAGAACAGGGGATGTCAGAACTGGGAAGGTCCTTACAGCAGGGGATGTGAGAGCTGGGAGGGACCTTAGAACTAGGGATGTCGGAGCTGGGAGGGCCTTACAGTGGGGGATGTCAGAGCTGGGAGAGGGGCTTTAGAACCAAGGTTAAAGAAGTGGGTTGAAATCAGATTCAGGAAGACTTCAAATACCAGTGTGAGGAGTTTGCATTTTATCATAGAGGCAATAGTGAACCATCAAAGGCTTTTGAACAGGGGTGTGACATGGTGAGATGTGCCTTAGGAAGATTATTTTTGTAGTTTTGTGAAAGATAACTTGGAAAGGGAACGACCTAAAGGGGAAAACGACTCTCTTAGAGAAATAGTCTAGGCAGGAGGTGATGAGGCGTTGAACTAGAGTTCTTTCCTATTTCTTGTTGAACTGTTAGCTTAGTCTCTGGGGTGAGGAGCATCTGTCCCTAGGAGGCAGAGGTCAACAGAAGAGCCTGGGTGACCCAGGGTGAGAACAAGTAGGACCAGCCACCCTACCCATAAATGCATCAGCAGGTGGATTCTGACTCTGGCACAGAAGCATTTATTAAGCTCTTGCTGTGTGCCAGGTACCATGCTAAACACTGTGGATACAAAGAAGGGCAAAAACATGGCATCCGACCCCAAGGAGCTCACATTCTAACGGTAGGAGACAACGTGAAAACCACTTTGTACCTATAAGCTCCGTGTATACGTGGGAGGCAGTCAGAGTGGAGGCACTCTCAGTGGACGTGATCCCAGGAAAGGCCTCTTGTAGATGGTGAGACCTGAGCTGAGTCTTGAAGGAAGCCAGGGCCAAGTTGAGAGATTCCAGATGGGGGAAAGCCAGTGAAAAAGCCTGGAGTTGGGAGCATCTTGTGTAAGAAATAACAACATCGGAACAAACCTTTATTCCTTGCGTACTATGTGCCAGGAGCTTTACAGTGACCTCATTTGACCTTCACAATGACCCATTTTACAGTTGAGGGAACTAAAACAAACAGAGGCTAAGTGACCTGCCCAGGGTCCCACAGCTAGTAAGTGTATGAGGCTGGATTGGAATTTGGTTCTTCCTGACCCCAGGCCCCATGCTCTATCCACTGTGGTGCCCCACTCCCATTGCCTCTAGGCCAGTGTTGCTGGGGCATACAGCCCAATTCAGGAACTGAAGCTAAAGAGATGAGTAAATAAAAGACAAAACACAAACCAATATTAAAAAATATTGCCAGTCTAATTCTATAATGACTGCAAAACAGACTCAGAGGAAAAACAGATTTTCTGCAAGGTCTCCATGAAATGAAATTAGATTTTAAAGTAAAATAAAAGCTGTCGTCTAAAGGAAAGATCCCACCTTCCCTATTACTGTTGAGGATGCCGCTTTCCTCCCCATCCCCCCAATCTAGGGGTCACTCCCTCTCCCTGCTCCCCCCACATCCAATATGGTACCAAGCCCCGTGGCTTTTACCTGTGCAACATCTCTCCCTAATATGCCCCTTCACCCCTCTGACGCTGCACCCGATCTGGTGGATTATTATTATTATTTTTTATTTTTTGGCTAGGCAGTGGAGTTAAGTGACTTGCCCAGAGTCACACAGCTAGTAAATGCTGTGTGTCTGAGGCCAGATTTGAACTCGGATCCTCCTGACTCCAGGACTGGTGCTCTATCCACCGCACCACCTGGCTGCCCATTAATTAATTAATCCTGGACAGGCTCTCTTTAGTCAGTGACCCTGGCCTCTCGGTTCTGTCTTTCAGTTCTGGGCATTTTGTCTGGTTGTCTCCCATACCTGGAATGTTCCCCCTCCTCATCTCCAGCCCCTGACTTCCCAACTAAAACCCTGTCTTCCACAGGATACCTTCTCTAACCCCTCTCAATCCTAGTGTCTTCCCTCTGTTAGTTATTTCCCATTTATCCTGTATATTGTTTGTATACATTTGTTTACATGTTGTCTCCCCGGATTAGATTGTAAATTCCTTGAGGGCGGGGACTGTCTTTTACCTCTTTTTGTATCCTCAATGCTTAGCACAGTGCCTGGCATGTAATAGGTGCTTAATAAATGTGTATTGATGGAAGTAGCCTAGAAGAGAAAGTGATGATCCTTAAACAAGAAGAAAAACAGGGTAGGCCAACAAATCAAGGACTTTATGAGACAGTAAGAAATAATAGGGAAAAATAAAGATTGAGAAAGTGGAAGAAAATATAAGGCATCTGGTATAACAAACAGCTGACCCAGAAAAGGTCAAGGAGAGACAGTTTAAGTCATTGTCTTCTATAAAAACCATTATTTAAAAAAAATTAAGTGCTGGACATTATATTTCAAGAAATCATAAAAGGAAACTTCTAAAATGTTTTAGAACCGGAAAGCAAAGTAACTAAAGATAGAAAGAATCCACTGGTCACTTTCTGAAAGCAACCCAAAAGGAAAGAATCCTAGCAATGTCAGTCAATACCTAGAGCTCCTATGTCAAAGAAAAATTGCTACAAGCATCCAGAAAGAAGTTCAGGGAATGAGTCAGGATCATACAAGACCTGGCAGCTTCTACTAAAAATGAGTGGAGATCCTGGAACTGAGTATTCCAAAAGGGAAAAAAAAAAAGGCTTAGCAGGGAGAATAACTTGCTCTTCAAAGCTCAGTATAATGCTACAGAGGAAGAAAAGTAGACCTTTCATGGAATAGAGCGATGATATCAAACTCAAACAGAAAGGATTCCCTACCACGTCGCACAAATTAATATCATCTACATTGTGTTTTTATTTGTTTTGTTAAACATTTTCCAATAAAATTTAATCCAGTTCAGGCATCACGTAGGAGTGTTGTAGGCCCACTGGCCACAAATTTGACACCTCTAGAATAGAGGACTCTCAAACGTTATAGAACTTTAGAAAAGTAACGTCAACAAGCATTTATTAAGCAATTACCATGTGCCAGGCACTGTGCTGAGCGCTGATAATAAAAATACAAGTAAGAAGAGAGGTCCAGCTAGGCCTTCCACATCGTGGCTTTTCCCATCGCGGTTTCAATGTATTGCCAGTCGGCATAAGAAATTAAATGGGAATTTTCAGGGAGTTTTGTGGAAGCTGCAGATGACACAGAAAGGGTTTAGAAACTCAGAAGTGCATAAAACGTATGCATAGTATTATATCATATAAAAATATTTTGGGGGCAGCTGGGTGTTGCAGTGGATAGAGCGCCAGCCCTGGAGTCAGGAGGACCTGAGTTCAAATGCGGCCACAGACCAAACACTTGACACTTACTAGCTGTGTGACCCTGGGCAAGTCACTTAACCCCAACTGCCTCACTAAAAAAAGAAAACATATTTTATCTTTTAATACCATAATAATTAAGATTTCTTCTCTGATACGAAGGGAGGGTTGAAAAATTTTAAGTGGATTTTCCAGATCCCGGGGTGCTGTGCCAGTGGAAGGGATGACTGTATTCTCTGCCTTCAGGAAGCTTATGTTCGAATTTTGAGAGAAGACACAAATCAAAGGGAGCTGAAAAAGGGGGAGGGTGGAGTGTATGGTGCCCAAGTCCGGAGTGCTGGGAGCGGATGGAGCTGGACCAGGAGTGGGGTAGTGAAGCAGCACTTCCTCACAGTGGAGGGTATGGGAGGAGAGGGCCATAGGGGCAGCGGGATCTTCCAGAGGGACTTCCTCTCCAAGTCATACTCCTGACTCCCCACAGAACTCTCTACCATGTGTAGCCCTGCAAGCTCCCTCCATCCCTGGACTCCACCTGTTGGAAGTACCCTCTGCCCCTTCAGCCTCTCTCAAAAGGCAGGATACATATTGTTTCTGCCTCTCTTCCTGAAATGTTCAACCTTTTCCTATCAACTGATTCTTTCCTTACTGCCTTCAGACATTCCCACGTTTCTATCACCCTTAACACATCTTCACTCGATCCTACCATCCCTTCAGGCTATAGTTTCAGATCTGTCCTTTTCTCTCTCTCTCTCTCTCTTTTTTTTTTTTTTTTTGGTATGGGACAGCGACCCCAACCCAGATTAAACTCAGAGACTTCTCAAGGTGGAAAGCAAAGGTTACCTTTATTACAATCTCTCGAGATGGCTGTGGAGAGAGAGAGGGAGGGAGTAACAGGGGCCGCCTTATGAAAGCAAATCTCCGCCCACCACGCAAACAAGCCTCCACCCACCACTATCCCTTACCCCCTTACCTGGGAGGTGAGGCTTACATTCCAGGGCCAAAATTCAAAGCCAAGGAAAAAGGCTAGAAGCTCAGGTTGGGGGTGGGGCAGGGCTTATTCTTTCTGTTAAGTGCTTAAAAACAGGGTCTGAGTGGGGGAGGATTTTGAAAGTAATAATCAAGAATTATTTGACCCTTTGAGGAGGCTTCACTTCTGAGAGTTCATTTCTCGCACTACCTTCTGAACTCATTACCTTGGTTATACTGAGAAGTCTTCACTGGGACATCCCATTCATTTGCATATAAATTTATTTATTTTTACCACAAGATTTTGAATTCCATATTTTCACCCCATTTTGCCCCTCCCCCCACCCCAAGATGGCACGCATTCTGAATACCCCTTTTCCTAGTCTGCCCTCCCTTCTATCTCTTTCCCCCCTTCTCTTATCCCCTTCCCCTTCTATTTTCCTGTAGGGCAGGATAGATTTCTGTACCTCATTTCCTGTATTTCTTATTTCCCAGTTGCATGTGGAAACATTTTTTTTAAACATGTGTTTTTAAAACTTTGGGTTCCAAATTTTCTCCCTTC